ATCTTGCGTCATGTGCGAAATGACAGTGACGTGTCAGTGACACATCGGAAGCCGTCACCAAGGGCAAACTCTAACCAAAGTGCTTTAAAAGTTGCGCCTTCTTGGGCCCGGCGCGGTGGAGCAAGTGGTTAAGGTCCTCGCCTTGCACACCCGGGATCCCATATGGGCGCCGGTTCTAATCCCGGCATCCCCGCTTCCCTTCCAGCTCCCTGCCTGTGGCCTGGGAAAGCAGTCGTTGGGACCCTGCACCCGCGTGGGAGACCCGGAAGAGGCTCCTGGCTTTGGATCGGCATAGTATCGACCCGTTGCGCTCACTTGGGGAGTGAATCCTCGGACGGAGGATCTTCCTCTCTCTCTCTCTCATCCTCTCTGTATATCCGCATTTCCAATAAAAAAATAATAAAAAATAAATCTTAAAAAAAAAGTTGTGCCTTCTTGATCAGATTTGGAGGACAACTTCCTGCAAGTCCTTCAGAAAAAGGGGGGTGCTTCTCTACTGCTGGGGGTTTTAACTTAGGAAGCTCTCCAATTTTATTCAGTTGAAGCGCTACAAATGATGGGCTTGAGCCTATAGCTTTGAATCACAGATGTACCCATATTCCTGCCTTGATCTGCTGAGCCATGCTCGGGGAGCCCCAGAACAGGTATCTCACCTCCCTCACCGCCTCTCCAGAGCGTGGCTAAAGCTGGGACAGCTAGAGCAACCAGGGAAAATAGCAATGCATTAAACCCGAAGTATAAAACAAATAGGCACATGCATACGCTGATTAAAAAAAAAAACGGACTAAGTAATAAATGAGAGAAAGAGATAAATTCATTTGCAGATTTCCAAACTCTGTAGATGCCGGGGCCTCGGGAAGAGAGGGCGTCACTTTACTCCCTTAGTGTGGGCTGTTCTTGCTGATGTCTGTCTAAACCCTTTAGTATATGGGCCCAGCAGCATGGCCTAGTGGCTAAAAGTCCTCGCCGTGAATGCACGGGGATCCCATATGGGCGCCGGTTCTAATCCCGGCAGCTCCACTTCCCATCCAGCTCCCTGCTTGTGGCCTGGGAAAGCAGTCCAGGACGGCACAAAGCCTTGGGACCCTGCACCCGTGTGGGATACCCAGAAGTTCCTGGATCCTGGCTTCGGATCGGCATAGCGTCGGCCGTTGTGCTCACTTGGGGAGTGAATCATCTGACAGAAGACGTTCCTCTCTGTCTCTCCTCCTCTCTGTAGATCTGACTTTCCAATAAATAAATAAATCTTTAAAAAATATAAATAAATAAACCCTATAGTGTAGAACGAGCGAGAGGAGCAGCTTTGCAGTGGGACGGCTCCCTAGGGTCGCTGGCCCTCTGTGACTTCCTCCGAAGCCCCTGGTCTTACCATGTGCATAACACCAGCTCCCCGAGGAGGAGGCGCATCTTGTGCCCCCACCAGGGCTCCTTAAAACCGTCAAGGTCATCAACCCAAGACTGAGGCCGGTCAGAGCCAAGCGTAGTCTAAGGAGAATGGTAATGTGGGTGCGACTCGGAAAAAAGGGAACAGGTAAAAAGAATATCTAAATAAAGGATGGCAGCTGATGCATCAAAATTGGCTCACGAGCTATAATTAATGCACTACGTAAGCTGTCTCGGGTGTATGGGTGGATCTGCTTGGATTTTGCTAAAAGCTAAAATCCAAAACTTTTTGTTCATTTTTATTGCAAAATCAGATATACAGAGAGGGGGAGAGACAGAGAGGAAGATCTTCCATCCGCTGACTCACTCCCCAAGTGACTGCAACTGCTGGTGCTGTGCTGATCCGAAGACAGGAGCCAGGATCCTCCTCCAGGTCTCCCACATACATGCAGGTGCAGGGTCCCAACGCTTTGGGCCGTCCTCGACTGCTTTCCCAGGCCACAAGCAGGGAGCTGAATGGGAAGTGGGGCCACCAGGATTAGAACCAGCGCCCATGTGGGATCCCGGCACGTGAAAGGTGAGGACTTTAACCACTACGCAATTGTGCTGGGCCCCATCTGTGTCTTTCTCAGGTTGAGTTAGCCTTTAGCATGAATACAAGAACCTTGAGCCACTGCTTACACATCAACCATTTCAATAAAGATCAAAACTGATCTCCATTTGCAGCTGGCATACATTCCCCATCACTTTACAGTTGATATTGGAAATTACAGATCAGAATAACCAAGAAGAGTTGCCAGTAGGAAAATATATTTAAAAAGGCTTTACAGTTGGAATATTCCAAATATTATCTCAAAACATATGGCTGAAGTTTCATTACGTACTCTAAATAATTCTTGGCATTGGTTTAAAATAAGATCTCCTGGATTGGTGTTGTGGCACGGTGGGTTAAGCCGCAGCTTGCAGCATCAGAAGAACACACTGGAGCATCGTTGGGGGTCTCCACTGCTCCGCGTTGATCCCGCACCTTGCTCATGCACTTGGGCGGGTAAAAAAAACCACAGCCAAAGTGCTTGGGCCCCGGTCACCCACATGGGGAGCCCAGATGGGCATCTGCAGAATGAACCAACAGAAGCAATCAACGACCATCTCTCTCCCTTCCTCCCTTCTCCCTGTCCTTGACTCCACTTTCTGCTGCTCTGCCTTCACATAGATCAATCTTAAAACAAGTTTCCACTTGTCAGCTTGAAAAATCTTATTTGTTTCATTTAATAAAAATGGTATCATTGTTCTGTAAAAACGTTATAATAATATAACACTTATATGTTTATAATCAGCTAAAGTTCTAAGGGAAAATGACACAATTTTTCAAAGTTTTTGGTGTTCGACCTCGGGGCTTTGGTAAATGGACCTCCTGGCAGTGTGGCGACTGCTGGAAGGACTGGGTGAGGTCAGGCTCAATGTTAGAGCCCAATCCCCAGCCACCACTGGCATGTGGTGGGTGAATCCTGGGCTTGTGGTTGGCCAGAGTGCCAATGGATGCCAGGCTTCACGTGCTGGCCACCCAGCAGTAAGCTCTGGGGTCTTGGGGTGTGGAATTATTGCCTAGGAATATCCACGGATAAGGTCACGGGCCGTGTAGGTGAGGAATGAATCCTGAGGGACGCCCAACGACAGGGTCACTGTACTTGCAGGCAAATCCGGTAATTTGGAGGGGAGAGACTGGAAGATCTGGATGGGTCAGACTGATACACCAGCCCACGGGGGAGTCCTGAGTTGGGCTTGTTAGCATGGAACATTGCTGACCGCCACATACCAGCCCATGTGAAAGCTAGGGCTGGGGGACCTGTCTAGCAGAGCTAATCATAGTACCTGACTGAATGTTGAAACAGGGGATGAGTCACATTAGGCGTGGCCATGACACTAACCAACACGCGAGAAAACCAAGTGCAAGGGTAGATTCTTGGGGATATGTGGTTAACCCTGTGGAAATACAAGTCCCAGTAGTTAGCTCAAGAGTTGGAGTGGTGATGGGCTGAGCTAGGTGTGTGGCCAAGGAACCTGCCCACACTCACAGGTGTAAAATCCAAGAACAGGCTGGGCAGGTCCAGGCTACAGCACCCATATGTGCATCCTAAAGCAGATTGAGGGGCAGGCCGGGCCACAACATTTACCAGCTCATACAAGGCCAAGATGGAGGGACAGGCCATGCCAGGCAAGAGCCTAGAACCCGCTGCCATGCATGATATCTGGGAGTGAGCCTGGTGGGGAAACTTGGGGACCTCCCTGAGTGGGCCATAGCTTCCAATGGTGAACATGAAGTCCAGCCTGCAGATCGGGCAGGCTGGGCAAGGCAGCTCCATCTGTTGGCAAATGTGTGAGTTGGTTTTGGAAGGGGGCAGACTGGGCAGAGCTGAGCATGCCTTAGCTCCCTGGCAAGTGCAGAAACCAGGCTGGAGTGCAGGTCATACTGGGCTAGGCTGTCACACCTACCAGTTTGCATGAGTCAGGGATGGGAACAGACTGAACAGGGCCAGGTTCCATCACCTACCGGCAAGAGCTGGGACTGGGGACAGCCCCAGTCAGGCCAGGCTACAGCTTCCAAAGGCAAAAGCCAAGACAGATGAGGGACTCTGCCAAGCTGGATCAGGGCAACCACCAGCATGTGCATAAGTTGATTGGGGCGACGGACTGTGCCAGGCCCTGTAGTGGCATGGAGTCTGTAGAGGACACCTGGTACCACATCAGAGGATGGAGGACAGAACAAATTGATCAACTACCCCAGCCAAGTGTCGGTAGTGAATAACTGAGCAAAGAGAGACTCTAAGGTTGACTGTGTCAGCCAGTGGATTCTGGAGAGATTTCATCGTGCTTAGAGTGGCAAGATTGGCAATAATTCGGAACAGCTGAAATATCGAAACTTTCGGGGCAGGATCCTCAGAGCATGTCCCATATCAGGGACCCTGGAATGGTGTTAGGGTGGCTGTCCTCCATCCCAGGGTGCAGAGGTGTTTGGGAGGCTGGGTGTGGCTTCTCTCCTTATCTCCTCCCTTCCCCCAGATACAGGAAGGAAATAAAGAGACTGTGGAAATAATGGTCTCACCCATCTTCCTGTAGCCCCTGATACCCTAATCAACTATGTAAAATCATCAAAAATAAAAACAGTTATATTTTAAAAAGTTTGGGCCCAGCATCATGGCTCAAGTGGCTAATCCTTCCCGTGCAAGCACCAAGTTTGTGTCCCAGCTGCTCCACTTACCCTCCAGCTCCCTGCTTGTGGCCTGGGAAAGCAGTCAAGGATGGCCCAAAGCCTTGGAACCCTGCACCAGCGTGGGAGACCCGGAAGAAGCTCCTGGCTCCTGGCTTTGGAGCAGTTCAGCTCCAGCTGTTGTGGTCACTTGAGGAGTGAGCCATGGAGGGATGATCTTTCTGTCTGTGCCTTCTGTAGATCTGCCTTTCCAACGAAAACAAATAAATCTTTAAAAAAAAAATCATCTTTATTATAATTAATTCCATGAATGAAAAATCCAGCATATTCCCAAACCAATGGTGAAAAATATTTCGTTGAAACACCTATCTCCAAAAAGAATCAGATTATATGAGTAGCAAATGTTTTATAGTTTCAATTTACTAAATTGTATATTCTACAAGATAAATGTTATTTTTAATACACTGGAATCCATCACAGGAATAAAAATTACTGTTTGAAAGACACTCAGTAAAAAACCTAATTTTTATTAAACATTTTGATAAGAAAGGTTTTCAGTGCTACAAACTTGATCTTCTTGGACATGCGCTCTCTGCTGGTTTTCTCTTTCTGTTACAGTGGTTATAAAGAGCTGTTTAAGGATATTTTTATCTAAATTCTTGCCTGCAAACAAAACAGAGCACAGCTTGATTACATACACATAAAATGACACAGCGCACATCCCCTTTTTTTTTTTGTAAAATTGTATGGAGAGGAGGGAAAGGCCTAAAAAGTTTTTATAGTATATATGATACGAATAGTAAGAGAACCACAAGCTTATTTACCCAATTTGGTGAACAATGCTCCAGGCAGGACTTTACCACCCTTTCAAATCCATTTTTACTTGGCTTTAGACATGGAACCCATTGTTACTCACCAATGAAGACCAGCCGATTGGTTCTCTCAGTGTCATCTTTCCAGCTCAATGGAGTCTCTTCCAGGTCATAGAGCTCGTGGACGCCTTGTACAATCACCTGGGCTTTGTCTTTGATTGACACCAGTCCCTGCCCAAAGGGGAACCATTTGTGAGACTCGTCTCAAATGTGACAGGAGAGAGGAGCAACAGTCTTCGTGGACTGACTTGCTATAATTGTGGTTGTTCCTTCTCAAAATACAAACTCATATGAAAATTACAGAGATGACTTAACTTGCTAGGGCATTAAAAAAGCTTTGCGAAAAACCTAAGATTTAAAAAGAAAAACCTAAGGTTAAAAAAAAAGGAAACCCCCAAGATTTTAAAATAAATACAGCATGGGACAAAAACCCTTGCTGTGGCTGACTTTCAGATTCTCCTCAACTGGCTTTGGTGAGGATGAAACTCATTTTTTTCAAACGTTCATTCATAGTTGTTATAGAAGTTTAATCTAAAAATAAAACAAATGATTCAGTTGTTCTTTGCATTTTTTTTTTGGATTTTGAATGTGTTTCCTAGCAGTTTTCCAATTCCTATGCAAAGTTTTGCTTCTCCTTTTTTAAAGTTAAATTAATTAATTCTGTTATGACAACAGACAGATTCTCCCTCCCACTGGTTCACTCGCTGAATGTCCACAGCAGGCGGGGGCCCCAGCCAGCAGCCGGGAACTCCTGTTACTGCTGCCTCCCACAGTGTGAATTAGTAGCGAGCCCAGTGGCAGTAGCGGGATTTGATCCCAGGTACCAGGATATGGGATGGGGGGGGGGGGGTCCAAAGAAGCTGCTTGACCAACGATACCACAATTCCAACTCTGAATTCTGCTTCTTGATTTTGAATTTTGTAAGGAATTCCTTGGGAAGAAGTAGGCAAGCATCAATTTTACGTGTGAAGTATGGGGCCTGGTGCGATAGTGTAGTAGTTAAGGTCCTCACCTTACACGTGCTGGGATCCCATATGGTTGCCGGTTCTTATCCCGGCTGTTTCACTTCCCATCCAGCCCCCTGCCTGTGGCCTGGGAAAGCAGTTGAGGACAGCCCAAAGCCTTGGGACCCAGCACCTACATGGGAGACCCAGAAGAGCTCCTGGCTCCTGGCTTCGGATTGGCTCAGCTCCAGCTGTTGTGTGTGCTCACTTGGGGAGTGAAGCATCAGATGGAAGATCTTCCTCTCTGTCTCTCCTCCTCTCTGTATATCTGACTTTGCAATAAAAAGAAATAATCTTTAAAAAAAAGTGTGAAGTTTGAACTGTTGCTTGAGTTAACAATTTTAACAGGATGATCCAAGACTACTGCTGTGTTAACGGGAGAGCGAAGGAAAGCTCTGAAGTCAGACTCTTCCGCCTCAGACTCCTCCGTTGTTGTAAAGGGAGGAAGACTGGGAGCAGAACAAAAACGGACAACTGCAGAGAAACTGTCACGTACAGAAGGGTAAAACCCAAACTGGTGTGTACGCGATCAGCTGGCCTTAGCGGCTCCATCAGTGTAAATGGCAAAACGGCACGTTTCCAGGTAACCTGCCCCATTCCGAACGCAGGGAATCCCGTGTTGCAGTTAAGCCCCGCAAGCATGCCACGGCAGGTGACACCTAGTGGCTCCGGGTCAGAGCCAATTAGAAGCCAACTGGGTCTCACCTGTGGCCTCTACAGAGGAGCTGCAGCTAGAGTAAGCCCAGGGATTGAAGCAATTTCAATTATTTCTTGATAGTCTCAACCGCGGTCATTCTAGGGGCCCGTGGCAGACACCTGCTAACTGGATAGAGTCTAGCTAAGAAGAGTAACGGCAAGTGGTAATCAGACAAGCTTCATGCGCTCTTGGGGATGCTAAGACACTCAAATGAACTCGGACTGGTTAATTATACAGCTGCAAGCACCGCCCCCTTCATCCAAACAACACAACAAGAGTTACATCCTAATGCTTTAAAACCTTCGAGTTGGACAGGTTCAGGCTCTGCTAACAAGGTCCAGCTGCAGCATCCTTCATCACTTCTCTAAGGAAACGAAGCTTTCTCGGGAAAAAATGACCAGTGTCCTCTAGGTGAGCAATCCGTGATCCCAGAAGAGTCTCTGCTCACAGCCAGGCCCGCGAGCCCCTATCTGCTTAGGGATCACATTTCCAGCACACGGATTGTTTTCGCTGCAACACCAGCTGAAGCTGTGGGTTACCAAAGCTCTCTTCCACCACTGGGGCCTTAGCTCGGAAGTGTGCAAGGCAGATGGAGCAGTGTACCTTCAGGCGGATGGCCTCCATGCAATGACCGTCCTTGTTTCTCACGTTCTTTTCCCACAGCAGATCCTGTAGCAGACGGGAGACGTGTTTTAGAAAAGACCACCCATGGCTAACGCGTCAATCAGGCAGCTCATCCATCAGTTAGAAACTGCACACACCTGCATGAATTCGTGGAGCCTTTCTTCGTTGACATTCCCCGACACCTCAAACGTAACTGTGGTAATACTCTGTAAGTCAAGAGGAATCATGAACACTTTTTACAGTAACGTCAGGGTAGCTTTTGAAATCACGAGTTTTAAGATGAAAAGTTATAGAAACACATTCATGGTACTTCATGTCGCCTTTCAAGATCAACCAGGCATTGCAGTTTGCTCCTCTGTCAGCTGATCTGCGCCATCAGCTGCTCCATGTTCAATATTCTTCAGATTGCATTAGCGATACAGTGTTTAGACAAAACATTATTTCCTCTAACAAAAACAGTTACACAAAACGTCTCCCAAAGGGTACTGATGATTTCATTCACTCTGTGCAGGGGCTCCAAGGAGGAAAAAGCAAGCAGCTACAGTCCAGTGCACAGAACACAGGGTGAAAACACTGCGGAGATCTGCTGTGCGCCAACTTAGAGCTCAGCTCACGACAGTCACCTCGGCCTCAGAAACTACAGCTCGGCTTAGCTCTTCTTCTATAATAATAAGTACAGCTTTTGAAATCTTAATAATCTTTCCCTTTCTCATTCAAGGAATCACTACAGCACCTCAAACATCCACATCAAAACAGAGCAAATCTGAGAATAGCAAAACTTTGCCAAGTGAAAACAGTTTGTTGTTCAAAAACGAACGTGGCTTTCAAAAAATGCTTAACATGGATTTTATTTCAGTTGGAAAAGCTGGTTTTTAATAGTGAGAATGTCTCAATACAGGAGTCCATATAGGCCTATCGCTTCATTGTGAGCTCAAGCATTGTTCCATGAGGATTGACTGCTGTTTTTCACAAATTGTGATGCACTTGTGCCCGCTCCAGCAGCACAGGGTAGGGATTCTTGGGGATCACCCCAAACAAGCAGTGTACACAAAGCTGGGCCGGGGGCGTGGCAGGCTGGGCTGAGCTAGATCTGGGGACCAACTCAGGAGGAGAGTCGGCCCAGTGGGCTCACTCCACCTGATCCCAGCCTCAGGGAACTCCACATGGAAGTCTGCTCCAAAGCACATGTGTGACATGGGTTGTCCCTGTTGCTGACTCTGTGGAAGGAAAGACAATATCCTGGGATACACACGGAAGACAAGACAGCTGGCTTCTCATATGCAACAGAGGACCCAGAGTGCCCCATCAAAAGACAGAAGGAAGAACAAGTTCAAAAAAACTCCCCCGGGCCCGGCGCGGTGGCGCAAGTGGTTAAAGGTCCTCGCCTTGCACGCCCGGGATCCCATATGGCCGCCGGTTCTAATCCCGGCAGCCCCACTTCCCTTCCAGCTCCCTGCCTGTGGCCTGGGAAAGCAGTCCAGGACGACCCAAGGCTTTGGGAACCTGCACCCACACGGGAGACCCGGAAGAGGCTCCTGGCTTCGGATTGGCATAGTATCGGCCCGTTGTGCTCACTTGGGGAGTGAATCATCAGACGGAAGATCTTCCTCTCTGTCTCTCCTCTCTGTATATCTGCCTTTCCAATGAAAAAATAATAAAAATAAATCTTTAAAAAAAAAAAAAAGGCTACGGGCCAAATTCTTCACCAAACCTCTGAGGCTATAGCCCAACACAGACAGTTGGCAAGTATGGGAAGTGGTATTCCGTACTGGTATGACGAGGCCAACACCATCTCTATCAAGTCACAGCCTTGGGAAGAAGTCAGCGACTGCCTGTATGTGTGTGTCCCCCCATCTCCCTATCTTCCCCCTCATCTGGCAGCAAAGAGCACTCAGCAGCTCCCTTGCCCCACCCTGCCATCACAGGAGGGAGGGCAGCGTTTCTTTCCTCACCCATGCCCTGGTCACTTCACATCCCACTCAGAGACCTGCATGGATCTACAATCCCCTCACCTCTGTAAGAAACATTTAAAAATAAATAAATTTAAATGAAGAAGAGAAAGAAGGACCCTTTGGTTATCTGAAGGAACATCCTTATCTTAAACAGGGTCACTCAGACGAGTCTGACAGATGCTTCCTAACAGTGTTACTACTAGGCCATACTGTCTTGATCCAATTGGACTTTTCTACAACCGAAGGCTCCTGTACCATCTGAACGTGGATGCTTTCCCCTTGGTTAGCATCCTGCCCTCACAGCAAACAGTCATGAGCCCCACTAACACAGAGATGCCATTCCTCTCTGCACTTCACATTCCCTAACCCAAGTAAGCCTGGTCAGCTCTCAATCCCAGCTCTTTGCAATATCACATTTTGCCATCTGCCTCTGACCACAGCAGCAAAGTGTGTGAGCATCTCCTTTTTTGGAAAGACACACACGCCTTATTCACTGGCAAAATGACATGCCTGAGATTTGCTTATACTCCAGCAGGGGCAGGAAGTACATACAGGTATGCCATACTGTCTTGTCTCTACAGAGTTCTGAAAATTTCCATCTAGATTTTTTTTTTTTTTGCTTGACAAATGATATCTGAAGAGGTGCTGGTGTGCGCGATATGCAACGAGCAATATGTAGATTCCATTTAGAAAAGCAGTGCATGGGAGGATTCTTGCTTTTCTCTACATTTTCGAGTATCATTTGCAATTTCTCACAACAAAATATTCGAAATCTATGCTCATATGCAAGTACCCCAAGCACCATTCCCAGAAATTTGAAAGTGAGAAATACTAAACGTCCATTTCTTAAAAAAACAAAACAAAACAAACAACTGGGCCACCCTCTGTTGTGGGCCCAGGCCATAAGCAGGCAGCTGGGACTCCTAGCAGCCCTCTGATTAGATGCAGCATCCCAAGAAACGGCTTCAACAACCGCACAGCAGCCCTGCTCCTCAGGGGTAACATGATGCCAGGCAAGAGTGATCGAAATCATCAGGTGTTTGCTGTTATCCTGGCCCTAGTACAACCAGCAAAGACTCACAGACTAGGAAAGCCTGGCACAGAGCCCCCCACACCCCCACACACACACCCCTCTCTCCTTCTGCCCTGGGTGGAACAAAGAGAGCTGATTACTGGTTAAGGCGCATGTCTATATTCCTGCAGAACTGTGGTCTTCCTACTTCCTATCTGTTAAATTCTTTATCTAGTGGGATTAAGCCTGTAACTATAAAACAAATTCAAAGTAGGTTATAGTAAAACTAAGAGAAAAAGAAAGAGGGAAGGGAGAGTGGAAAGTATAATTTTGGACTTAATGCATGAAATCTGATCTCCTTAAATAATAAAAAATATGGGCCCAGCGGCGTGGCCTAGCGGCTAAAGTCCTCGCCTGGAGCGCTCCAGGATCCCATATGGGCACCAGTTCTAGTCCCGGCAGCTCCACTTCCCATCCAGCTCCCTGCTTGTGGCCTGGGAAAGCAGTCAAAGACGGCCCAAAGCTTTGGGACCCTGCACCCGTGTCGGATACCCGGAAGAAGTTCCTGGATCCTGGCTTTGGATCGGCGCAGCATCGGCCGTTGCGCTCACCTGGGGAGTGAATCATCGGATGGAGGATCTTCCTCTCTGTCTCTCCTCCTCTCTGTATATCTGACTTTCCAATAAACAAATCTTTAAAAAAATAATAAAAAAACATTTTTTTTAAAGAAGTCATCTTATGGCTTTACCATGTGCTGCATAACAGGAAGATGGGAATAGTAGGAACATATTTAGCAGCTTCTAGCATCTTCAATATTCGCTTCCACGGCTAGAAATGCAAAGCATGAAAACTCCACCACAAGTTTCAATTTTTTAGTGCTACTTGAACGTGAAATTCAAAGTCCATTCTTATTTTAATAAGCCATGCTTGCATGAGGCCTACTCTTCAGCAGTGAGTCCAAAAGAGTTAAAAACAAAAGCAAAAAACCACTACACATTGCTTGTCGGCCTTTTGCTAAGATCAAGTGTAAAAAGCTACCACACGCAGCACCCCCTAGCGCGTGGCTACTTTCCAGTGGTAATTCACATCCGATGAGGCGATCAAATGTAGAATGGCAAGCTAGAAAGCATGAGCTCTGCAGTCTCAACAACTCTGAAACACTGAAAAACGTTCACTATGGGGTTCAAAGCTGCGTTAGATGATCTCAACAGCATTCAAAATTCCACAAATTATCAACACAGCTTAGAGACATGACTTTGAACAGTTCCAATTTAAGTTCTACACACAGTCCATTTAAAGAGTGTATTTAGGGACTGGCGTGATAGCATAGTGGTTAAAATCGTTGCGCTGAACGCCCGGGATCCCATATAGGCACCAGTTCTAATCCTGGTGGCCACGTTTCCCATCCAGCTCCCTGCTTGTGGCCTGGGAAAGCAGTCAAGGACAGCCCAAAGCCTTGCGGACCCTGCACCTGTGTGGGAGACCTGGCAGAAGCTCCTGGCTCCTGGCTTCGCATTGGCCCAGCTCCAGCCATTGTAGCTGCTCATTTGGGGAGTGAACCATCGGACAGAAGCTCTTCCTCTCTGTCTCTCCCCTTCTCTGTATATCTGCCTTTGCAGTTAAAATAAATAAATCTTAAAAAAAAAGTTTATTTAAAGGAATTTTTTAGAAACATTTTTTACCTGATCAAGGTGAGGGTGTGGAGCTGGCATATGTTGAAGTTTTTTCTGCAAACTAAGAATAATTTATTATCAATTCAAAGATGAACACATATGGACATAACCTTATATAGTATAAGGAAGACATTTTCTATTTTACATAGTATTTTAAAAGAACAGTGGCAGATCAGTGTCAAAAATTTCTTTAAAACATATATACATATATAAATAGAAAAATTAGGGGCCTGGCAGCATGGCCTAGTGGCTAAAGTCCTTGCCTTGAACTCCCAGGGATCCCATATGGGCGCCGGTTCTAATCCCGGCAGCCCCGCTTCCCTTCCAGCTCCCTGCCTGTGGCCTGGGAAAGCAGTCGAGGACAGCCCAAAGCTTTGGGAGCCTGCACCCGCGTGGGAGACCCAGAAGAGGCTCCTGGCTTCGGATCGGCATAGTATCGGCCCGTTGCGCTCACTTGGGGAGTGAATCATCGGACGGAAGATCTTCCTCTCTGTCTCTCCTCTCTGTATATCCGCCTTTCCAATGAAAAATAATAAAAAAAAATAAATCTTTAAATAAATCTTTAAAAAAAAAAATTAGTCCTTGGGCAATACTGGTTTGCATGGTTAAATATGCAGGTATTTCAAAAAGTTTACAGAAAACAGAATTAAAGCATCACTTATTTGGGTGCAAAATTTTTTGAAATTCATGCAAAATTGTCTCATAATATACATTCTCATAAGCTTTTTAAAAGATCTGTGTGTGTTGGTAGATTTCTTTCCGATTCCGGTACAACTAATACAGGCTTAGAAAAGCCATGTAACCGGGCCCGGCGCGGTGGCGCAAGTGGTTAAAGGTCCTTGCCTTGCACGCCCGGGATCCCATATGGGCGCCGGTTCTAATCCCGGCAGCCCTGCTTCCCTTCCAGCTCCCTGCCTGTGGCCTGGGAAAGCAGTCCAGGACGGCCCAAAGCTTTGGGAACCTGCACCCGCGTGGGAGACCCGGAAGAGGCTCCTGGCTTCGGATCGGCATAGTATCGGCCCGTTGTGCTCACTTGGGGAGTGAATCATCGGACGGAAGATCTTCCTCTCTGTCCCTCCTCTCTGTATATCCGCCTTTCCAATGAAAAAAAAATAATAAAAAATAAATCTTTAAAAAAAAAAAAAGAAAAGCCATGTAACCACCTTATTTAGTCTCCCAGTCCTCCTAATTTTAAAATAATGCTGGCACCTAAAAAAAAGTTAGAAAGATAAAAATTTCTCTTTTATCACTGTTTTCCCCTAGAAACACACCTACTCATTAAGACACAGTGACCACCGATATAAAACCTCTGTGTGGTCAGCTGCCGGTTGGGAGAAATTGCAAAGTCAGAACTTCAAGGAGCGGAAGATCAACACGGCATTCCAGATTGTGACCTTAACAAGTGTAGTGCCAATGCAGACACTGATGGTGACAGGTGAGAGAGAGAGTAACTGTGCTTAAAGCCTTGCAGATATTTGGCCCCGAGGAACAACAAGGGAGGGGCGGATTAGCAACAGCAAGTTCCGGGGCCAGGAAAGGAGCAGGCCGAGCCCCAGGTGGGAATGAGTCACTGGGGGCCCTAAAGCAGAAAGGGGCAGTCCTTCCCAGCTGGCTGCTCTGAAAAGACTCTCCTGTGGAGGCTCAGTTTACCGTGGCAGGATCGCTTTGGAATATCTACTTCTCTAAGTGTTGCAAAAGCATTATAAACGCTCTTCATCAAGTGTAGAATGAGATTACTTATAAAAATCTTCAATGAGCACTTAAATTTGGTTCATGGTAAGTCTCAGAACTTAACGCTCTTGATTTGGCCTCTATCATACAGAAAAATGTCTTCTAGTCAAATGAACAAACTTGTGCTACCCAAACCTGACATTTATGAATTCATTTTGTACATTTACTCACAGTCTTGCAACAATTTTTTTCTCTATGCTAATAAACTACATGAAATCAAAGGAAGCTTAGCATTTTATAATAAGCCATTATGTAATAACAATGATTCATATCTTTTAATGAGAAGAGAGCAGTAACGAATTTTCTATCTCTCCTAAGTAAAAATACATAATAATAAAAAGAACCGAATGCTTTGAGAAAATATCTTTACTACAGCAAATTATAACAAGCAATATATAAGCATTGCAATGAATTTCAAAGTAAGAATCACATTTCTAAGCAAATACAAAGGAATAAAGTACGTGAGGAGAAAAAGCGAAGGTCTCAACAAAGAGACGTTTTAGTGTTTCACAGATCAAATGACAACCAATTTGCAAGCTCATACTCATCAGAGATAAATTATCTAATCAAGACAAATTTCAGCAGTACGACTTCATGCTTGTGTCTTAGAAAATGTCTCTAAATGCAAAATATAATCTGTAATCATTTTTCTACCCCGAGCCAGAACCAAAATAAGCAGATGTGGAAGAGGAGAAAAAGAAAAACCACGGCTATCTATTGAAAAAGCAGCAGATACACCCAAAGGAAACGTGCCGGAGTATTGCACTGCAAAGAAAAGGATTAGTAAGACAGACGAGAACATAGGCTAGCCTTCGGCCAGTTCAGAAACAGGCAGCAAAAGACACAAGCGCTTACAATTCCAGAACTGAATGATAGTCTCAGCTGACCTTTCTCCTTGTAAAGGCAGAACTAGGACATGGCACCATGGCTTAGTGGCTAAATTCTTGCCTTGTAAGTGCCAGGATCCCATATGGGCACCAGTTTGTGTTCTCAGCTATTCCACTTCCCTTTCAGCTCCTTGCTTGTGGCCTGAGAAAGCAGAGGGTGTCCCAAAGCCCTGGGACCCTGCACCCACGTGGGAGACGCAGAAGCAGCTCCTGGCTCCTGGCTTCAGATCAGATCAGCTCTAGCTGTTCTGCCATTTGGAGCATGAACCAGTATGGCAGATCTTTCCATCCTCCTTTCTGTAGGTCTGATTTGCCTTTCCGATAAAAATAAGTACATCCTTTTTTAGAAAAAGTCAAAATAAAGTAGAAAAGGACATTTTTCAAAAATGATTCATATCTATTTTTATTGGAAAGGTAGATTGATAAGAGTCAAAGATTTACAGGCGGAGCAAGCCTGGTCCAACGCGGGGGGGCCAGGCGCCTCCCACGGGTCTCCCACATGGGTAGAGGGCCCAGGGATTTGGCTCATCCTCTGCCGTTTGCTCGGACCATCAGCCGAGAAGTGGAACAGCCAAGAACACAAACCAGCACCCATACAGTACGCAAGCGCCACAGGTGGAGGCTTAAAAATGTATTTATAATTTTAGTTCATGATCTGTCCAACCCCAAAGGCTACAGGTACTACAACAACAACAATAACGAAACTTTCAACTAAAGGTTCGAGTTCTACAGTGACTCTCACGTGTCAGGTCACGCCGAGTCTCAGCATCCAATATGAGAAGGGGCAATTTGCACCTTGCTCCTTGCTCACTTGTCAAAAGGCACTAAAATGATTCTGTTTTGTGTTGAACTAAATGTGTACTCCAAGGCATAAGGTACAAAAAAAAAAAAAGCCCAGTAAAACATCACCATGCCTTAACCTCACAGGTTATTTTAGATATACTTTTTGTAAATATTCATTTATTTTTATTGGAAAGGCATATCTACAGAGAGTAGGAGAAACAGAAAGATTCTCCATTCATTGTTTCCACCAATGGCTGTAACAGCCAGAGCTGAGCCAATCTGAAGCCAGGAGCCAGGAGCTTCTGCCAGGTCTCCCATATGCGTATAGGGTCCCAAGGCTTTGAGCCGTCGTCTACTGCTTTCCCAGGCCACAAGCAGGGAGTTGGATGGGAATTGGAGTGAGCCATGACACTGGGCCCCTATTTTTAAAATGCAGACAATACTAAAGACTGGGATATATATATATATATATATATATATATATATATATATATATACTGAGTACCCTTGATCCCAAAAAGTTTTTGAACAAATTCTGTATCTGACAGGTTGTAATCAAAATGTATGCACACTAAAATATCTTCCAAAAAAACTTGTGAGTAAGTATAAAACAAGCTTTAGGTTAGATGTGCAAGTTGTGCTTAGAGTTGGATTTGCCCCCAAGATAATGCACATGGACATGCAACGATTCCAAAATCTGAAAAGAGAAAAAATGTGAGAAATTATAAACACTACTGAGCCCAGGCTGTCAGAGAAGGGCTGCTCCAGCTGTGGGTCTGTAAATGGGAAGGGTGTGTGTGTGTGTGTGTGTGTGAGTCTTAAGTTGGCACCACTCACCAAGCCTACCCTCGAGTGATACTGCCTCAGTCATTCAAACTGGGCAGGGGTGCCCAGTTTCATGACCTCGTGCAATGGGCGTGAGACTTCAGAAGTACCCAGGACAATATTTTACTTGCCACAGTAAAGACAGCAGCCAGACAACAGAAGCGTCCTGTGACAGGTGAACAGATAAAGACTGCAGCATGGTGAAGGGCAATGGTGACGGCTGGCTGTACCAACTGAGCTGCGACGGTCCATGTATGTCATGCCTTTTGAAAGGGTATTGCTCAGAGTGACAGGTGCAGAAACTGCTAATTCATATTGAACACTGAGTATCATTCAGCTGTAACTTTTTAACAATGGGTTATTCCAAAGGCAGAGAGGCACAAAGAAGTAAGTGGACAGAGACAACAAGACTGTCTCTCTTTCACGACCCAGTGCTCAGCCAGACACCTGGGGTTCAGTCCATGTCACCCACATGGGGGGCAGGGACCTCCACCACTTGCACCGTCAGCTGCTGCCTGGCAGGGAATATACCAGCAGGAAGCTGGAAAGGGAATCATGGCAGACTCACAGCCAGGCACAGCGGCACGCCATGCGGCTGCCTTAACACTGTGCCAAAGAACCACTACTGCTTCAGATTTCCGAAAAGCGTATTCTGATTACCAACCAAAAAAAAAAACCCAACAAAACTTTCAGGAATATGACTCATTAAAACTGATCTCGTTTGCACAAGTGTTCACATGAGAACTGAGGCCACAAGACAGTCAATAATTCTTTCAACTGTGGAATGAAAAAATCATACTACCAAAAAAAAAAAAAAAAGACTAAAATACAGAAAACTTACCTTATTCCAGAGAGACTATCAAAGGCATGAAGATCTAATACATTACAGAGGTCAACTCTAAAAGGAAGAAAACCAGTGTTAACAGTCAGGAATTCTATAGGATACATCAAGTTAATAATAATAATAATAAAAAAAGCAAAATTCTTTTGCAAAAACAACAACAACAACAAAAAACCCATAAAGATGAAATAGTATATCATTAGCTTTGGAAACAGACTTCTTAAAATAAGGAACACAGAAATTACTACAAAAAAGTAAACTGGATAAGATCAAAAGTCACTTGTACATTCAATAAGCTGTACAGTTTTTACTTCCATTGGATTTTTCAACTCTGAAATTTAACTTACGAGCTCTTCAAATAAATTTAAATAGCTCTTTCCCCTCCAAAAACAGCTAAACAACTACTACTTTTCTAAGCAGCTTTTTCACTCAAAAGATGAAACATAAGATTTGACAAATGGAAATTCTGCACTTCTTGTACTCTCTTCCCATGATGCAAAGCGTACCATGGAAAGGTAAGGAGTCATTCAATCAAATATAAATATGAATTCATCCTAGGGCCCTTACGTACATGTGGCTGAATCTCACTGATTCAGAATGACGTTCCATCAAAAAGGAAATGTCCTGGTTAGTACTGTATTTGAAGACATTATTTCCCTTAGAACTGTTTAGTGACAATTATTCTAATTAGAACTGCAAACGATTCAGATTAGCTGGGAATAATGTGACGCGACTGCTACTCGGTTCAGTTTAAGTCCACAGTATATTTACAGACTGTATATTTACAGACTGGTAATTAAGTTCCCAATTTTCACACACAGAGATTTCTCTAGAACCAACGATAAAATGAAGGAGTAATTAAAGAAAATGTCCAAAAAAAAAAATACAATTAGATTTCAAAATCTGGCTCCGGGAGGCTGCCAAACATTTATTAAGTTCTCTCACAGGGGAGACAAAATTTGCCTTGTCGGATTTGAGACTGCTTTTAAGTCTAAGTTAACATTTGTGTCAAAGCCCTCCTATAACCTTGGCAGGGTTAAGCAGCTGTGGCTGTGTTGCTCCTTAGCTGCTCATGGCAGACTCAGACCTCTGGCAGCAAGGCTGTGAGATTACAAACACTTCTCCTGCCACAAGATAAATTTTCGTAAAAAAAACACAAACAAAACTGAACGAATACTCCAAATTTCTGTGAATAAGCTATAGCAACGCTTCAAACGTGGAATATTCTAGATCAGGAGAACCATAAAAAGGATCAAGCAAAAGAGCAAATCTTCCCATCGAGACATTTTTGAGTATCTGTTTACACGAGGAGACCAATCTTAACATTAAATATAGTTCCTTTTTTCACCCTCATAGCTGAGCAAATATTTCCCTTGACGGGTAATTAATAAAGTCCCCCCTCAGCTTCATCTTAACCTTAAGATGCTTCACATTGAACAAATTTATCCACACGAATTTTGTATTAAATCCAGTTTTGAAACTCAAGTTTCTTCATAAGCTACTATTTTCATTGTGACAGTTTTTGAGAACATGTGTCATTTAGAGGCAACTCTGTTTTATACACGAGTTCTTTAGCTATTTCCAAAACAGAATCAATAATAGATCTGTAATCTAGTACCTCCATAAAAAAATTATTCATGAATTCAAGGCATATTACTAGAACCAAACTTCCAAGTGCTCAAATACATGAATTTCCTCTTTCTGAAATAAAAACAGCGAATATTTTCTAAAATATTAAAATGAAAACTTTTAAAGAATATCATCTCTGTGTTAAAACTGAATAGAGTTTGTTATACAAATACAGAAGGAAAGGATATAAAATTTCATTTCCCAGGCCCGGCGTGATAGCCCAGTAGCTAAAGTCCTCGCCTTGCATGCACCAGGAGCCCATATGGGTGCGGGTTCTAGTCCCGACAGCTCCACTTCCCATCCAGCTTCCTGCTTGTGGCCCGGGAAAGAAGTCGAGGACGGCCCAAAGCTTTGGGACCCTGCACCCGCGTGGGAGACCCGGAAGAGGCTCCTGGCTTCAGATTGGCTCATCTCCAGCCGTTGCGCCCACTTGGGGAGTGAATCATCTGATGGAAGATCTTCCTCTCTGTCTCTCCTCTCTGTATATCCGCCTTTCCAAGAAAAATAAAATAAATCTTTAAAAAAAAAAAAAGGTTTCTCCTGGGTAAAAAAAATCTGTCTCTCTCTTCCAGATAAAACACCTCTCTTTTGCTATCTCTCCCCTTTATAAGTACATTAAAAAACAAAAAATTCTGGTTCCTAAACTGGTAAGTAGAGATTTCTATAGCTCAAGGAAGTTGGGAAAATATTAATATAAGACTTATGATCCAACAGAAACTATTCTATGATGGATGTCTGAACTTCCCTGGAAAGTATGTTAATCCAACTCCCTTACAGCAAGGAAGGACTACTTAAAGTTGTAAAGTTCTCAGACATACTGATAAACACCCCACTTTGAAGAAACAAAAGAAATTTTATTCACGTTCTTTCCTCTGTTTAACATTTTTTAAAAAAGTTAATCACTGAAAACTTATTGTCCTAAAAGGGCAAAGTTAGAGATGGTAAAAAAAAAATTATGACATAAGAAATGAATCAAGATGAAACCTTTGTCCAGGACAGTTTCCAAAATGCTGAAAACTTCCTTAAGTATTACACAGCTGCCAGAGAGAAGAAAGTTTAAAAAGAGGTAAATATATAATGCAATATGGAGAAGATGGAGGTGTGGAAAAGCTCATGGAGTGAACGAGACGATCAGATTTTAATAACGGAATGTGAAAAACAGGGAGCGCATTTGGTGTCTGCTTCTAGAGGAGTCACACGGGGCATTCTCTCACAGCCTCTTCCAGGAGATGCGTGGCTCCTAAGAATGCATACCAAATGAACCTCCCCCAGCTGCCTGCACACCCCTGGGCAGCTGCTGCTGCGACTGCCTTACACTTACAGTAGTCTGTCAGCACCTCTAATCTCTGCCATAGCAGACCAGCCACTTGGTTAAGGCCTCCACTGCCTTCCAAGGAAAAAAAATCCATCAACAGGGGACTGGGTGGCTCTAGGCTCCCAGCTGTGAACCTTAAAGATGTTAGCTGCATGTTTGCTGGGTCTATCAGCTGTTGAGCAATTCTCAGCCAAAAAAAATTAGCTTAATAAAATACCCTCAGTATAGAACTTTACTGAAATCATAGGAGTATAAACAGTTTCAACTCAGAAATACATTTTACAGACACAGAAAGCATCTCTTTTACAAAATAATGATGCGCATCTACAGGAACAGAACAAAAAGAAAACACTACAAGAGTGGAAACAAAAAGTTAGTAAAGGAACAAATCAGGAATTTAAAGAGCAAAGATTACGTAGATTTTGCATGACATTTTTTCAACTATGAAATGCTCAGGAAGTTTGAAAAACATTAAAAGGCATTTAAATACCTCAAATTAAGGTAATTTCCTCGATAGACGTTTTTTTTCAGATTTCTGTGCTAACTTCTTTTTTTTTTTTTTAAGATTTATTTTATTTTTATTACAAAGTCAGATATACAGAGAGGAGGAGAGATAGAGAGGAAGTAGAGGTGCCGGGACTAGAACCGGCGACCATATGGGATCCTGGTGCGTTCAAGGCACCCTTAGCCATAGGCCACGCCGCCAGGCCCTCTGTGCTAACTTCTTAAGTTTTATGTTTTCTTCTTCATTAAACAAAAGCACCACTGCCCAGCACTATGGCTCTGCAGTCTTTGTTACAAAAAGAGGCCAACACATTAAACTGACGTTCCCAACTGATTTACACAGAGCATTCAAATCACATTTTAGGGGTCCTGATTTTAAAAATGGTGATGGTATCTTCCTAATATTACAGAATAAAATCTATCAATTACTTGACCTTTATTATGAACTCAAATTGTTTATTGCTAGTATTAGTAACAGCTTTTTAAACATACCTTGACCTTTGTGTTTCTAAAATTTTTCCCAGGCCATTGATTGATCTGGAAGAATAAAAAGGGAGGGAAGGTGAAGAAGTTAAACTTTGTAAAATGCACACAAAGCATAATATCTTTAAAATGGGAAGTATGCAAGTAAAACATTTCTAAAACTAGAAAAATATTAAAAATGAAACCAAATAAATTTTGCTATACTTTAATCATTCTTTATTTCAAGCCATTAATCAACTATTTATCACTCAGGCACTCATTTAAAAAGTATGGCATGCAGAAGTCTATTAGCTGGTAGCACAAGAGTTATTGTGTGGCTTAAAAATTGTCCTTCGGAATCACCCTTGCATGCGACGGGAGCCCACACGGGCACGAGTCTGTATCCTGATTGTTCCACTTCCCTTCCAGCTTCCTACTTATGGCCTGGGAGGGGAGTAAAAGACGGCCCAAAACTTTGGGAACCAGCACCCACATGGGAAGCCCCAGGCCCCTGGCTTCAGATTGGCTCAGCTCTGGCTGTTGTGGCCACTTGGGGGAGTGAACCAGCAGATGGAAGATCTTTCTGTTTCTCCTTTTGTCCTTTAGGATAAATGACTTCTAAGTTATCAGGAATTCAAGTGTCTCTAGAATGAGTAGACAATCAAAATTTGTACTGGTAGACAACATTTGCTGTAGGCCATGTCGGCAGCCTGTGAGCCTAGCGCAGCTGACTGGCTCAGTAACATGTGAGCAGGCACTCAGCATCAATGCCATCAATTCATTTTTAAAGATTTATTTATTTATTTGAAATGCAGAATTAGAGAAAGAGAGAGAGAGAGAGATCCTCCATGCACTGGTTCACTCCCCAAATGATGGCCAACAGCTTCTTCCAGGTCTGCCGCGTAGGCATAGGGACCTGACAACTTGGGCCATCTTGCACTGCTTTCCCCCAAGTCCATCAGCAGGGAGCTGAATCAGAAGTGGAGCAGCCGGAGCTAGAACCAGTGCTGATATGGGATGCTGGTGCTGCAAGGCAGAGGAATAGCTTGTTGAGCCACCAATGCTGGCCCCTGGGGAGAGACATGTTTAACACAGTGGGTAGGATGCCCATGTCTCCTGAGGAATGTGTGGGTTCAGTACTCAGCTCTGACTCCTGATCACAGCTTCCTAGGACCGGGAAGCAGTCTTGATCTGTAACCTACAACCCAAATGGGAGACCTAGCCTGGCTTTGGCCCTGGCCCAGACCACCAGTTTGGACTTTTATAGAGTGGACGGAGGTGTTTACTCTCTCACTCTCTCTCTCTCACCAACGAAAATAACTACCCACTCTACACAGAGACATCACAATTTTGAGAGTAAAGTTTAAGCACATTACTTTCAAAATTGCACAAGTAGATAAGTGTGTATTTCTACTGCAGTAATGAATCTTGGCTACCAAACTCCGAATGAGCCTTCCCTTTACGGACTCAATTGATAACATTTATGATGTGATCTGGCGGGACAGACTCAGCATCTAGTTTCAGCAGAAAATGCAAATACTAAAACTAATAACTGGGGTCGTCGGTGGGGCTCTGTGTCTGGACTCCTGCATTCCACGACAGAGCGGCTGAGTCCCAGTCCTGCCTCGGCTTCCGATTCCAAATTCCTGCTTCCGTGGCTCCCGGAAGGCAGCAGACGATGGCTCAGCAGCTGGCCACTTGCCAGCACGTGGGAGATTTAAAGGAGTTCCTGGCTCCTGAGTTCAGCCTGGCTGAACTGTAGCAACTATGAACATTTAGAAAGTAAACCTAAAGGAAGCTCTGTCTGTGTGTGTCTCTCTGCCTCTCAAATAAAATTTCCTAAGAAGTAAACAACGACGATGTGTGATAAAAGCTAATGAATAGAGGCCAGTACTGGGGCATAGCAGGTTACAACTCCTTCTGCGGTGCCCATATCTCACGGGCGCCAGCTGCTCCACCTCCAATCTGGCTCCCTAATGATATGCCTAGGAAAGCAGTGCAAGATGCCAAGTCCCACACAGGGCACCTGGGAGGGGCCCCAGAACCCCAGAGCAGCCTCAGGCCAGCCCAGCTCCAGCTTGGGCATCCATCTGGGGAGTGAAGAATCAGATGCAAGATCTTGCTCTCCTTTTCTATGAATCCGCCTTGCCAACAAATAAACAGGAAGAACAAAAACTGCCAAATGTCTCTTTGTATATGATGCTTACTCAAAACCAATTCCCCGAACTATAATCGCATTTGAAAAAGACCATTTTTGTTTTCAACAGTAACAGAAGTATCCAGAAGAGTCAGAAAAAAAAAATAGCTATTGGATCATTTATCACATGTTTGAGTATCCTTCCCACTGTCCCATGTTGATGAGCCCACACACTGAAGACATTCAAGGAAGCTGTTAAGACAGGGCACAGCTGCCGATTAAGGCAGACACAACGTCAACAGGGGTTTCAGGACAAACTGAAGTCGCCTGACTCATACAGCACGCGGACTATGGACAAGAAAATAAGCCCCCCAGAATGGACACAGTTCACACACAAACACACACACAATGAAGGAGACTGGCAGAATGAGGACACATTTGGCAAGACGTGCCCATGGCAAAGTAAGCCATCCTGTGTAACATGCGCAAGAGTGGAGGCTGTGGAAGAATCAATGAGAAGACAGGAAGAGGAGGAGGACATAGTCAGAGGACTTTCAGTGTCAATCTACACATGTTGAGCCATATTCTGCAAGCAATGGGGAATCAACTTTGAGCCTTAAATTTCCATAGGACAATACTGACGGTAAAAATATTTTATATAGTACACATATCATATATATATATATATATATATATATTTTTTTTTTTTACCTAATGGTCGTTCTCAATCGGTTTAAATCCTCTTCCGGAACTAAGTCTGTTTTATTCATGAGAATAATATCTGCCAGAGCAATTTGCCTAAAATAGCAAAGAGCAGAGGTCAAAAAGGAGATCAAGAGGTTAAAACGAATAGAAACAACTTAACACCACTGTGTCAGTTAAGAACTAGACGGAGCCCTACTGCAGTGACATGGAGTACTATTTATTCTTCAGATAATACACGTGAGTTCTATGGATCAGTATACAAGCTCAAATCTACATTACAGTATTTACTGAAATAGTATTTAGGAAGTGATCTTCCTTGCAACTCTAGGGCTTCAAAGATGAGCCTCAAAAGGTACCAATCAAAGGGTTAATTTTTAATTCATAAGTTTCTTTGTAAACAACAATAGGAGGGCCTGGCATGATGGCTCAACTGGCTAATCCTCCACTTTGCAAGGCCAGGGTCCCACATGTGTGCCAGCTCATGTCCCCGCTGATCCACTTCCCATCCAGCTCTCTGCTTATGGCCTGGAAAAGCAGTAGAAAATGGCCCAAAGCCTTGGAACCCTGTGCCTGTTTGGGAGACCCAGAAGAAGCTCCTGGCTCCTGGCTTCGAGTCAGTTCAGCTCTGGCCAAAGCAGCCAATTGGAGAGTGAACCAGCGGATCGAGGATCTTTGTCTCTCTTCATTTCTAGAAATCTACCTTTCAATGAAAATAAATCAATCTTAAAAGAGAGAGAGAGAAAAGCATAATTAACATAACCAACACGGCAGGAGTAAGGATAATCTATTAAGTGTTCTTGCAATGTAAAATTTTCAGAGAAATACAAAGAATAATCACATTTAGCATAACACAGGTTTCTGCAATTACCCTTCAGAAGCTATGTCAGAAACATACATGTCTGGTTCACCGTGAGCACATTTATGTAAATCCATATACAACTCAAGCTAAACAACCCAGTTTTACAATCTGCTACAGAACAGACGGTCATGAATTTCCCTCTACTCGGTTCTATTGCTGTATTTACGTGCTTCTGTCCTGCGTTCTGTGTTCACTAACACAAACGCTCAAAACCAAATGACCTTCTCATCCACTGAAACAGCAGCTCTCAGTTCCATTCACGCAGCAGGAAAGTTTGAATGGATAAACACCGACCGCATCTGTCTCAAAATAGAAACAGCTCGCTGCTTCAAATCGGAGAAATTATATATACAGTTTTTCTTGAGGCTTTTATAATATTCTGCTTTTTTTCCTATTTTGAATTCCTTGTGCTTTTTAGAGTAGCTCTTTTCACGAGGACCAAATACAAAGGTGTCAGAATTCCTTTTCATTTGCATCCCAATTACACACCAAATGCAGAGTTTAGCTATGTCAAACAGTGGAGCACCATATTCCTTAAAGCGAGGGAAGCGACTGTTTGCTGGGCGTCTTCCTTGCTGCCCTCCAGGACGGCTTCACCCAAACCCCAGGGCTTCACCCAAACCCCAGGGCGTCCCCCTAAAAGCTAGCAGCACACTTAATGACGGGCATCCGTCAGCCTTAATGTCACTAGCAAGAATTGCTTGAGGAAGAAGGCAAGCTAATTTAAAGATTTAGAAGTCTAAAGGCGAATGAACCAGAGATGTAAAGCAATGTTCTCAAAAATACTTCAGATGTCAAATTAAGATTTGTTCTGTATTTTTCCCTCTGCTGTTCTCAGTAATGGTGAGCAATCAAACTACTGTCTTAAAAGTAAATATGTGAGCCTACCATTTTATATTAATCCTTAATGACAAAAACAAATTACGAAAACAAGAAAATGTTTAAATAGTAACATTTCCCAAATTCCTCACAAACAACTCTCACGCCCTGCATTCCCTTTGTGCTTCAATAAAAATAAATGTAAACAAAATTCATCAGACCGTAACAAATTATAACAAAAAATAAATTTTCCTTGAGTGTATTTTTATATGTCTGAGTTTGAATTTTCACAGCAATGGTTTTCTCTTTCCAATTATCCAATAATTAAAATATGTATATGTGAATACCTCGTAGCTTCATTGACAAGGCCTTCAGGTTTTTCTTCTGTCAAATGCTAAACAAAAACAAAGTCACAAAAAATCTATTGCATTGTAGTACAAAAGCTAATGACAATATAATGAATCTTACTGCAAACACTTCTCACTGCTAACAAGAGCCTCAGCTTCAATGACCAAATATACAAATGCGGAAATAACTTCTATCCAAACTGTTTGTCAAGACATTTTATTTTTGACATTTTGGAGGTTTTATGTACATAAGAATTGGCCGATATTTGTGACATAGATGAGACACAAGATATATGTAAAGGAGAATTTGAAATTTGCTTTTTAATTTCTAGACCAAAATGGAATAAAATGGTAGTTTTAGCAAGCCAATTACTTCTCTAAGAGATCAAAAATCTTTACCGAGGGTTGGTGGGCAAAACATGCCAGGTGGTTCAAAGTATCAAAGCTCAAAACAAATTAAGTCTGCCCGCCAGAGCTAAAGCCTGGCAATTCTTACAACTCTGTAAAGAATATTATAATAGCCGTATAAAACTATTGCAAAAGATATAAACATCCTGTCCTGAGTGCATATGAAGGATACACAAACATCTCCCCTCAGTATCAGCCCGCATTTCATCTACAACACTTGCTGATTCCCTGGGCCAAACTCTGCAAAAAGACTAAAACCAGAGTTTGCAATTTAAAAGAACATTCTCTAATAATACACTATGTATCATGAACTCAGATGCCTTCATTATAAAATAAGAATAAAATTGAATTTTTCTTCTTTTTACAATTTTCTACTTGTAGAAGCATATGAGGAGAATACTATGCAAAATATTTTTCAAAATATTTTCTGTATGTCCAAAGAATTCCTCACCCTTACACAGACTGAAGCTTCTGCTTATTTATCAAACAGACAAAACTAATTTTTGTATTAATTATGCCAACATTCAGAAGCTTAAAGTTAAAATCCCCAGTTGAACCAACCACAAACAAGGGGGAAGAAGAGAGAGATGAGAAGCTGAGAAACTTACAAATACAAGATGAATAAATGCTGGAAAGTGGATTTACACACGGTGCCTATAGTTAGTAGTACCGTATTGCATGGTGACTATAGTTAGTAGTACCGTATTGCATGGAGATTTGCTAAGAGCGTAGATCTTAAATCTTCTCACCATATCCCCCTCCCCAAATTATAATGATGTGAAGTGGTGGCGTTAACTTGATTATTTCACAGCACATTTTACAACATACACATGCACACATATGGGAAAGCAGCACACTGTATACCTAAATCAACAGTATATTTCGGGGAAGTCAATTATATCTCGACAAAGTTTGATGGGACGAGCCTGGCATAATGGCACAGTTGCTAACCACCCCGCCTTGCACACACTGGGATCCCATTTGGGTGTGGTTCATGTCCCGGCTGTTCCACTTTCCATCCAGTTAGCTCCCTGTTTATGGCCTGGGAACGCATGACCCCATGCTTTGAGACCCTGCACCCACGTGGGAGACCCAGCTCCTGGCTCCTGGCTTCGGATCGGCTCAGTTCTGACTGCTGCAGCCACTTGAGGAGTCAACTGGTAGATGGAAGATTTTTCTGTCTGTCTCTCCTTCTCTCTGTAAATCTGACTTTGCAATAAAAATAAATAAACACTCAAAAAGATAAACAGTTTCAGAGGACAAAAGGAAACAAAGGAACTTTTAAAATAATTGCAGATAACAATGTCTCAAATAGTTATTTTGGATTGTGTCTTTTTTTTTTTTTTTGCAAAAATAAACAAGCAGGAAACTCCTTCACTCCCCTCCCCCCCAAAAAAAGAAAAACCAGGAAAAAAAACAATGGCAAGCTTACTAGCTAAGAAAGAACAATGCTGTTAACCAAAGCGGAAATAAATCTCACGTCAAAGATGTCACATGTCATTTTAAAAACAATCAATGGAGGCAGCTATTTCTTTAAAATGGATTTGTTATAGCTCAAACGCTTTTAACTTTAAAAAAATATATATATTGCATAATGTCAGTCTATTTGGTTTTCTGGTCTTATTAAAGCAAACTGCTTTCTGACTGAATTATCTCAACATGTGTGCAATGTAACGGAAGAATCAAAAGGAAACCCCTCGCTTGACCTTCTCTGCGTAACTTCATTCATTGAATCCATTGCATTAAATGCTATCACATTTGTAGACCCCAAAAGAACAATGTCAGTAGCCAAGGTGTCAAGTCCAGAAAATAGAGAGCTGTCATTTCAAGTTGTCCAATTCTTGGCCCGTGATTAAAAAATGAATATTTCAGATCAATGGGTGACAATTCCATTACAGTGATAGCCCATGATATCAATTACCACTTCAGTTTCAATTTGGTTGGCTGGCCACGGCGTTCCATTTCTCAGCGTTGCCGTGATGGGCCGGCTCTGTGAAGCATGACACCCCTAAATTGCTGCCCATTATCCAAGTGTCATTACTTGTTCTGTCTCCAAATACTCGGAATCACAAGTAGCACGGAGGTCAAGCTTTGCAACCGGAGCAATTGGACAAGATGGCAAATTCCTTATGTAAAGGCAAAGTTATTTACCTGGTATCTGGCCTAGAAAATCTAAAGTTTCCATTATCTTGACAGAATGTCACTTTGGGGTAGGTATATTGATTTAATAATTGAAGAGGTTTTATCAAGGTGGCAAGGGGTTAAACGTTGACTGTGTTTGCATTATTCAGAATATTGTCTTGTTTGGCCACTGTCACCCTGGTAATAGATCCTATCTAAATCTTTTTCACACCCAACCACATTACATAGAATCATATCTATAATCAGAAAATACATAAATAATTGGACTTGGGTTATGGTACCTGAAAATATCAAAACAGTTTTTTGGATCAAAAAAAAAGAGATCATTTTTAAAAATCAAAACAAAATAGCTCAGCTTTGAGCGATCGCAGAGATACCCAAATTCAGGTGAATTTACAGAGTAAATGGATTCAAATACGCCTATAATGCACTTTTAAAAAACAAATAAACATTTAAAATAAAAAATTGGGGCTTTTTCTGGCTATTTCTAGAAACTTTTTTGCTACAAATATCATTTCAAAAAAGTCACAGGAATTTTTCTGAAGAAACTTGCAGTATTCAAGATCGTTCTTTGATTCAAAAGACTACCAACATATATAGACTTAAAATCCTGAAAAATGAATTTGCTTTAAACCTCTGGAATTAAGAGTATCAGTTATTAAAAAAAAAAAAAAAACCCTGATGTATCTTTCTAGAGCATAACCGGCAGTGAAGATTTGGAGGAAAACAAACTTTTACAAGTTCATATATATTATGGAGCAAAATACAGAGCGGATATAAATTTTTAAACCCTGAATTTCAACCTCTAAGAAAGTTGGGTCTTGTCCATATCCCCAGGCCGGGATCAGCAAGGATGGCAAGGTACAAATGGAGAGAATTCATTTTCTGCTGCCATTACTGATATTTCACTAATTAAGCTGAAAAACACGACTTTATTTTATAAACTAATGAGTTTTTAAAGACTTTACTAACTGGGACCCAATGTGGTAGTCTAGTGGCTAAATCCTTGCCTTGCATGTACTGGGATCCCATATGGATGATGGTTCATGTCCCGGCTGTTCCACTTCCCATCCAGCTCCCTGCCTGGGAAATCAGGAAAGAACAGCTCAAAGCCTTGGGACCCTGCACCCAGGTGTTGGGAGTCCCAGAAGATCCTGGCTTCCGGCTTCAGATTGGCTCAGCTCTGGCTTTTGTGACCACTTGGGGAGTGAATCAGTGGATGGAAGATCTTTCTGTCTCTCCTGCTCTCTGTAAATCTGAATATCAAGAAAAGTAAATAAATCTTAAAAAAAAAAAAAAAACTGGGCCCGACGCAGTGGCGCAAGTGGTTAAAGGTCCTCGCCTTGCACGCCCGGGATCCCATATGGGCGCCGGTTCTAATCCCGGCAGCCCTACTTCCATTCCAGTTCCCTGCCTGTGGCCCAGGAAAGCAGTTGAGGACGGCCCACAGCTTTGGGACCCTGCACCCGCGTGGGAGACCCTGAAGAGGCTCCTGGCTTCGGACCGGCATAGTATCGGCCCGTTGCGCTCACTTGGGGAGTGAATCATCGGACGGAAGATCTTCCTCTCTGTCTCTCCTCTCTGTATATCTGCCTTTCCAATAAAAAAAATAATAAAAATAAATCTTTAAAAAAAAAAACCAACAAATCATACTAGCTTCATTTTATACATCCAACCCCAAATCAGTTGGGGATGCTAGGTGTTAACACACATGTTAGCAAACACATGTAAACCAGGGTATTCGTCAGTGGAGAAGGTCCCCACACTAGGCCTTCTTGCAACTTCTGCTATTTTCAAACAAGGAAAAGCAACACTTCCAACAAATTCATTTCCAGCTATTTAACAAGAAAAATAAAAACTCATATGCTTTCCCAGGCTCACTTTTTTCTGTCCAAGCAAAAATATTACCAACATTGGAGGGGAATGTTAACAAGAAGTTACATAAAACTTTCTCTCAATACCAAATACTCATCATAAATTAAATATATTAATCCCAACTTTGATTACCACAGCAAACCAGTGCACAAGAAATATTTCCTTTAAAAACAAACTAATAATCAGAAAACGCACAAATTTAAAGTTCTGGATACCTTCTTGAAAAATATTTTGGTAAGAAAATTTTCAAATATTAATTGCAAATAAAGAAAATACTAGTCACCATTGCTCATATCTGAATAAATGATCAGTAACACAGAGAAATCTTTCGACTTACCTTAAATCCATATTTTGAATCCACAACAGTTATGATACCTAGAAAGAAAGATTTTAACCATCCTTTTTTAAAAAAAACTGTTAACATGACACAGTATTTGATAATGACCACAAAAGTAATTTTAATGTTTCAGTTCACAGATGTTACTCCGTAAAATGTTTCTTTTTTCCCTCTTAACAATGCTTCCACTTAATTCAATTCCAGTAATAAGTCCGTGCTTATCAAATATATATTGGGTGACTGTCACTTTAAGGTACTAGAGCAAACAGAAACAATTTTGAAAATTAAATAAGCAGGGACATCAATTCCCCTGGTGTTTAACAAACTTACAAGCCAAAATGTGTAAGGCAAATCTTACTGTGAAGTCCTATGTGGGAAATCAGACAAGCTATTTCTACTTTATTCTTACAGGATCAAAATCAGGTTTTCCTTTACAAGTCAACTCTTCCTTGATAAACCTGAGACGTTTTAGGATATCTCATTACCAACACGTATCTAAACCTAGCGCCCCACAGAGAGCACGATGGAGTCATCCGAAGACTGGGGAGGATGCAGAATGAGAAGAGGAGGAGGGAATTGGTTAACTCACGAGGTTTCTACATGTCTTACATGAAGACGCACAAAATTTCTGAATCAGACTGCCCAAAGTGCTACCGTGTGGGTTCATATGTGTACTTGACTCTTTATCTTCAATGGGAAAGCAAAGCAGAATTCTGAGCCTCACGTTGGCCTGCTGACATGAAAGGTTCTAGTGCCAAGTATATGAATCAGAGACAATCAGAAATCTATACCGCACTTAGAAGGCAAGCCACAGCGGAGGTACTAAGCTGGGAGTGGAGATTGAGACCCCTCCCTGTAGCCAGTTCTACTGCTGTCTGGGGCTACAGAGTCTAAGCAGAACCGAGACTTCCTGCACCATCAGACTGATCAGGTGCAAAAACAATGTGGGAGCTGAGATTGGAAGACAAGCGCACAATACTGAATTTAAATCATAAAAACTGATTTTGAAACAAAATTTCACTTACCATCGAGATAAATATCACTCCCTAATTCAGCGTCAACCCAAAACATAGAAGCCACAGCACCTGAAAATATATAATATCCATGAATCAAAATATGCCTCCAAATGAAAAAACTTGATCCTATCTACACTTTGATTTGCTCCAATGCAATTCGCAGGTAACTGCACATACAAATTAAATATGGATGGCTAATTTTCTTACAGGAATTATACTGACAGAACCTTTTATTATATATAATCATTTCTATTCCTCTCTCTACTTCCTGAAAGAAAACAAAACAAAAAAAAAAGACTGGGGCTGGCACATTGGCTCAACCGGTTAATCCGTCACCTTGCAGTGCCAGCATCCTATATGGGCACAGGTTCGTGTCCTGGCTGCTCAACTTCCCATCTAGTTCCTGCCCAGGAAAACAGCAGAGGATACTCCAACGATTTGGGACCCTGCACCCATGGGGGAAATCAGAAGGAGGCTCTTGGCTCCTGGCTTCAGATTGGCTCAGCTCCAGCTGAGGAGTGAATCAGCAGACGCAAGCGCTTTCTCTGTCTCTCCTCTCTGTAAATCTGCCTTTCCAATAAAAATAAATAAATATTTGAAAAAAAAAAGACCAACTTTTACTACTTACAAAGCTTTGGTAAAGATTTTTCAACACCTACTATTAAACAAATAGATACTAAGACCACGAAAATGACTGATTCTTATTTTATCCTCTACCAAATATGGTAATCAGAGTTCACAAATTAAAAAAAATCAAAATACCTAAGTTTAAGCACCTGTTGAAAAACAGTCAATTTTATGGAATAAAAAGAAGTAACAGTACATATTTGTGGCATTACTGATTAAATCTCACACTACTTATTTAACATTGACCAAAAATCTGGGTCTGGAGTAGGAATTCAACGGAGCAGTTCTCACATGGTACACTCCCATCCCATGCTAGAGTGCCTGAATTCAAGCGCAAGCTGTGCTCATAAATCCAGCTTCCTGCCAGTGCACACCCTAGGGGGTGATCCCTGCACCCATGTGGGACAGTTGCAACTCAGGCAGGTGCAGGCTTTGAGTGTGGGCAGGTGGGGGCCAGGGCAGGGCGAGGGTGCAGGGAAGTGGTGACGCTCGTGGGGTCAGCTTCAGGGTGTGAGTGGGGGTGCGCAGTGAGCAGGAAGGAGCCAACAGGCCAAGGGGTGGGAGGCTCTGTAACTGTCAGTGGGGCCCAGGATGCTGAGGGGTGAGGGGTGAGGGTGCGAATTCCATTCGAGCAAATCAAAGGGGTGAGGGTGGGTAGGTGGAGCACTAGCTGAAAGACCTCGGAAGCAACCGAAATGCCCATCAGCAGAAGATTGGATAAGAAAACTTTGGTTCATCTACTCCATGGAATACTACTCAGCTATTAAAAAAAACAAAATGCAGTTCTTTGTGGCTAAATGGGCCCAACTGGAAACTATTATGCTAAGGGAAATGAGCGAATCCCAAAAGGTTAGATACCACATATTTGCCTTGATTTAACCTGTAATTTTTTGTTTGGTTGTTTGTTATTTTTTTGAACCTGTCATTGATACTGTCTCAACCCAGATGTTTAGAAGAACGGAACTTGCATTATCTTTAACATATTGTTTACCCAATACTATGTCAATTAATTCCATAATGTTTTATATTGATACTGAGGTTTTGTTGGGGATTTTATATGACCGGATCTTTACTCTGTTAGCCCTACCTTCAGACCAGAGAGGGTCTCCCCAAGAGGCCACTGAACTTATCTGGACAATAAGACGCTGAACTTTATGCTAGGCATGTGTTTGCAAGGAATGAATCTCAACTGAACTTGAACTATGGTTATGCAACAAGGTGGAGGAATCCACCATGGGGGGAGGGGTATGGGAGGGGTGGGGGGAATCCCCAGTGCCTATAAAACTGTACCACATAATACAATGTAAACAAAACAAAAAAAAAAAAAATGTAGGAACAGTAACGACAGCGAAACTGAAGCAAAATTCAGGACTAACGAACTCAAACTTGTTTTTGAGAGCAACTGGTTCAATACCAGACTAGCCATCCTGATTGGCATGCCACAACATGAGAAAACTGACAGCAAGGAAAAGTGTCTGGCTTTTCAAGCATCCCAGTCCCCATTACAGGGATGGGGCTGTCGGAAAGAATGAGCCAAGGAGGAGAAACAAGGAGAGCTGGACTCGGCGCCCTGCCTGCAGCCGTCCCCCTCGGCCTGACAAGCCGCGGGGTCTACGCACATCACTCCGTGTCAACAGCCAAATAGCTGCCATGCACGACAGAGCAGGGGCCACCAGATCTAATGGTTTCCTGATACCTATTGATTTCTTTCCCCCCAAAACTTAATAGTTTTCCAATTTGACTGAAATAGGATTTGTGAGTAACAATGTCTGTCCTTTTCAAGGAAATTACTTTACCGTGACAATTATTTAGCTTAGGACTGGAGAGTGTCCGTCTTCTGAACAGCAAACAAGTGAACTGTCAATAGGAGTTTTACTTTCTTGGCCAGCGACACAAATTTAATCGGTAAGGCAGAAACTGTGGCTGTACTTTATCCTTACTGCACACAAGAAGCCCTTTAAAAAGTAGTAGCTTTTTAAATCCAACAGAATACCTAACATCACATCATACACTGATGATTTTACTGATCGTTAAAACGTGTGCATTTCTATTGAGATAAATAGCTTGTTTTGTTTATCTGGTATTAAGTAGAACAGTAAACATGCCTTCAAGTTTGCCCTTACATTTGATGCTCGCTCCGGATAAGAGAATTTCAAGGCTATACAAGAATTCCTTAAAACTGGAGGAGGCTGTAAGGAAATGAAATTCATCGGCTCTCAAGCCCGGGGTGCTTTTTCTCTGATTTTTCTCTGATCATGTCTGAAGGCCTCCGTGGCTACCTCAGCTGAGCAGTGCCTCTGATTCGAGTAGAAGCCAGGGACGCAATGGCGCACACACACAAGGATGCACAGTACAGAGCCGCCCCAACCACCCCGGGCAGGAACTCTCCCACCCCAAATGGCGCTTGTGCCAAAGCTAAAAAAAAAAACTCCGAGCCAGGCTGCAGGGTCTCTTCTTCATAGCTAACAATATAAAGAATAACCACCCAAACTTTCCCAAAGCTTTATCTGCAGCAATGGAATACAGAAGGACATACAATTCCTCCGTGACTTCATAATTTGTGATTGTTGACAATCCAAAAAAAAAAAAAAAAAAAAAACCTTAAAAAAAAAATAAAATTCTATTTATTTGAAAGTAGAGTTACAGAGACAGAGGAAAAAACAGAAAAGAAAGATTTTTCTATTTGCTGGTTCACTCCCCAAGTGGCCAAATGGCCTGGGCTGGGCAGGCAGACGGAAGCCAGGTGCCAGGGACTCTGCAGGGCTCCCACATGGGTGGTAAGCATTCAGGCGCTAGGACCACCATTTGCCTCCTTAAGTGCGTTAACAGGGAGCTGGATCAGAAGTGAAGCAGCCAGAACTCTGGGAGGCACTCCTGTGGATGCTGGCATCACTGGAGGCAGCACCAAGAACCAAAGCTTGACGTGACGGAGGATCTCCACCTCCAACAAGAGGCTCGTAGGGGACACAGCTTACGATCAGAAACGCATTGCCCTGTACAAGGCAAATGAGAATCCGAGGAATTCTAAGCACCACCACAGCCCAAGGACAAAACCAAAAACCTCCCAAGTTTCTCACCATCTCCACGTTGAGAGGAGAAAAACTGTTTTTCAGTACAGAAGAAACCAAAACGACAAAAAAGAGGGGGAAAAAAAAAGCAAAAGAAATTCTTAAGGACTTAACAATAAAGAACTTAACACAACCGAAAAAAAACAAGGCTAAAAATAAGAAAAAGTAGAATAGGACTAGTGCTTCAAAAAATTAACAGAAAGACAGGTTAAACAGGTAATGGATACTTATCAAGCTCTGTGAAAGGGTAGCTTGTAGTATAACAGAAATAAGCTTGGAACCAATATAACACCACTACTTAACCTGTTAACCAAGCTATGACATCAAGAATCTGAAGAAAATGTGACAGAATTATGGAGAAAAGCTTCAGAGGTGAGAGTGAACACGCAGATTTGAACTTGACAGGTACTAGCTGGGTCCAATCATTTAGCACTGATGCTATGCCAATCCGAAGCCAGGAGCCTCTTCCGGGTCACCCATGCAGGTGCAAGGTCCCAAAGCTTTGGGCCGTCCTCGACTGCTTTCCCGGGCCACAGGCAGGGAGCTGGATGGGAAGTGGGGCTGCCAGGATCAGAACCTGTGCCCATATGGCAGTTGGGACACGCGTCCCACAGCGGACTCCGCGGTTGGGCCTGGCTGCCATCTCCAGCAGTGTAGACCTGGGGGGTTGACTTAGCTCCTGCCACTGCCACTGCCACTGAACCTGAACTGCGTTCCCAGCCCCCCAGCTCTGGCCTCATGGCTGGAAACAGTGGGTCTCTACATATGTCCGACTTTACTTCTGTCTCTCAAATAAAAAGGGAAAAAGAATTTACAGCTCTACCAAGCTGCCTGCTGAGATTCTTGCTACATTCACCACGCTGGATGCCAAGGAGTATCAGCAAATTTTAATGAAATTTACCTCCTTGCATTTCACAGTACTGAGGTACAGGATGATTTTAAAAAAAGCTCTTTTTTTTTTTTTAGTTATTACCTATGTATTTTTAATACTGAATGTGTGGGAGCCAATGTGGAGATGCATGTCAAGCCACACCTGCTGCGTCAGCATGCCAAGTCCTGCTTGCTCCATTTTTTTTCAGCTCACTGCTAAGGCTTCTGGGAAAGCCCCTGCCAACAATGTAGAAGAGTTAGATGGAGTTACAAGCTCCTGCCTTTGAACTTGAGCAGCTTTAGGGGAAAGTGAACCAACAGAAGATCTCTCTCTCTCTCTCTCTCTCTCCCCGCCCCCCAGCTGCTTCTGGGTCTCCCATGCAGGTGCAGGGTCCCAAGGCTTGAGGCCGTCCTCGACTGCTTTCCCAGGCCACAAGCAGGGAGCTGGATGGGAAGTGGAGCAGCTGGGATTAGAACCCGCACCCATATGGGATCCCGGTGTGTTCAAGGTGAAGGTTTAGCCATTTAGCCATCATGCCAGGCCCATAAAGTTAGCTCTTAGTCCAGTACACCACAGCACCAGGCCCCATTCAGTTTAGACTCAGAGCCAATACAAAAGCTTTCTCTGAGACCTTTAACTTTTTTTCCATTGCTCTGAAAAGCTAAATCATGTTTTGATCAACTCAGGTATTCTCACGGAAAACAAACAAGCATTTTTCTCAATGGAGTGACAGAACTGGCCACAATGGAAGAAAAAAAAAAAACTTACTTGCTATTTCAACAGAAAACCATATATTTTCTGTTCTACCAGATTCTAATTACTTCAATATTTAACACTAACATACAAGTGAAAAACCTTTGAGAAATATCTGAAAAACCTTTGCTCTGAGGACCAAGCTAGCCACCATTTACAAACGTAGAAACGGCGTGGCTACGTCACAACTTACATATAGGTGGCCAGCTATGTTTGGACCCACCAAGTACTTCATTTATTTTTTTCAACCACTATGACCCTGTAGGAAACATTAGTTTTATAAACCCGCCCAACGCAGAAATTTTGACCAAAATTAAGAAAGAAAGGAAGAAATAGGGTTTTGGTCAAATTCACAGAATAAACACTAAATGTTGAAAACTGAGAACAAAGACTGTAACTGAAAGTTCTTTGCAGAAAATAATCAGATTTCGCAGCTTAGATTTTACTAAGAAGGTAACAGAAATCCATTCTTTGAAACTGGTCAATTTTTTTGTATAAAATGTAAGTTCAGATGGAACACAAACAATATACAATTATTAATTCATATTAACAAAATGAATGGCCCATAGGTTATGGTTGACTGGGTATTCTTTGATACCTTACACAATAATCCACAAATCAGATTGCTTAAGTTTTCATTGTAGAAAATCAAGATGCTAATAGTTGGTGAAGGGAGTAAATCAGGCTGGACCACAGTCAAAAATGATTTATCTTTTCATGATTTTCTTTTAAAAAAAAAAAAAAAACAGCTGAATTAGAATGCAAATAGAAATGAAATCTCTACACAGTATAACCTATCAATTGTCTCTTTTCCTAAACTTGCGGATTTTTAAACCAATTTTGTCCCTATCAATAATTCCAAATCATGCAATAGAGCTTCGATTTGTATCAACAGCTTATAGCACCGAGTCCTGGGAGCCTTACTGACATGTGGTCCTAGGCCGGAGTTATTTCCTCTTTGGAACCAAAAGAAATTTTAAATCGAAGGTCAAGTTTTATTTAGTACTCATTTCTCTCGAGTGAGAAGCAGCTATGTTAGTTAGCAATAAATAATGTCATTTCTTACCGGGATCCGCTAACCCAGTGGTCTCCAAGAGTATGTAATCGAATTTCCCTTTTTTCTGCATTAAATTTTCAATAGCTCTAATGCCATTGTCCCTGGAAAATACCAAACACAGCACGTGCTCAATTATCCGGATAGTTTGAAATAGCCATCACAAAAATTCAAAATCTATTCAATAAGCTCAAAATGAAACATTTGCCCAATATTTTCTGAGGAGGAAAAAAAAAAAAAAAAAAACCAGATGCATACCCACTGAGAAGTAAAGAAATCACACACGTGGTGAGCTAATATTTTATTAGAATTAAAGGCAGAGGGAACTTTAATATCAGTCATCAACCTTCAAAATGATAACATTTAGTAATTATATTAGTTGAACAGCTAACGAAACACTGTTACTGAATATCATTTAATTCTGTTGCAAATTATTATGCAGGTCTCCTTTCTTTTTTTTTTTATTTAAAAAACTAACAAACCAGGAGCCAGGAGCTTCTTCCAGGTCTCCCATGCAGGTGCAGGGTCCCAAGGCTTTGGGCTGTCCTCGACTGCTTTCCCAGGCCACAAATAGGCAGCTGGAGAGGAAGCAGAGCAGCCGGGACTCGCACCGCTGCCCGTGGGATCCCATTGCATGCAAAGTGAGAATTTAGCCACTATGCTATCACGCCAGGCCCGATTTATCACCTCTTTACAATCATTCACTTTGTTGGGTTTTTTTGTTTGTTTGTTTTATTTTTCAGATTTCTTTATCTTACTTGAAAGAGTTACATAGACACAGAGAGATCTTCCATTTGCTGGTTCGCCCACATGGCTGCCACAACCAGGGCTGGGCTGGTCAGAAACTGGGAATTACATGCTGCTTGTAATAGGGCTCCCATATGGGGGCAGGGGCCAAGGGCCCTTGACCTTCTCAGACCATCTGCAGGGAGCTGAAACTGAAGTGAGGCAGCCAGGGATAGAATCAGTGCCTATAGGAGATTCCGGTGCCACAGGGAGAAGATGAGTTTGCTATGCCATCATGCCAGTCCTGCTTCAGTTTTAAGGAAGGTTGAATAGTAAAACGTTGGAGGAAAGACCAACCACTTATTAGATTCGGAACAGCCATATTTTTACACATGAGACTTGCACATGCAAGACATTATTAAATAAACACTGATATCAAAACAACAAAGAATGCCACTGGGAATGCCCACGCTGCATATCAGACTGCCTGTATTGTGCCAGCTTCCTGCTAACGTGTACTCCATGAGACAGATGGCAGGAGATGGCAGGAGATGGCAAGAGATGGCAAGAGATGGCAGGAGATGGCAAGAGATGGCAGAAGATGGCAGGAGATGGCAGGAGATGGCAAGAGATGGCAGGAGATGGCAGGAGATGGCAGGAGATGGCAGGAGATGACAGGAGATGGCAGGAGATGGCAGGAGATGGCAGGAGACGGCAGGAGATGGCAGGAGACGGCAGGAGATGGCAGGAGATGGCAGGAGACGGCAGGAGATGGCGCACAGCGTCAGATCCATGCCTCGCTCTTGGGAAACGGACTGATCCGGTCCAGCGCTGCCTGTTACCAGCATTTGGAGGAAACCCAAGATCTTGATCTCTCTTTTCAAGATTTATTTTTATTTGGGAGGCAGAGTTCCAGAGAGCAAGAGAAACAGGGAAATCTCGGCATCTGCTGGTTCACTCCCCAGATGGCTGCAATGGCCAGAGCCGAGCTGACCTGAAGCCAGGAGCCAGGAGGTTTTTCTAGGTCAGTCCGATGCATGCAGGGGCTCAAGCACTTGGAGCAGCCTCCATTGCTCTCCCACAAGCAGGGACCTGAATCAGAAGTGGGGGCAGACAGGATTCGAACCAGGGCCCAGAGGGAATGTCAGTGGTGCAGGCAGAGGCTATGCCCCAGCACCTGTCTGTCTGTCTGTCTCTCTCTCTTTCAAATTAACAAACATTAAAAAATAGAAAAAGCAGCTTATAAAAAAAAATCAATGAATGTAACAGACTTTACTGCAGATTAAAACAACGATAAAGATTCATCAAGAAAAATAAACCCTATGTTTTTTTTTTTTTCCTGTTTGGAAATACAATCAAGCAGCTGTGAGTCCAGTTTAATCACATTAAGCAAATCGAGCCTGCAAATCAAACCCACACACGTTTGCCCATCAACCAGACAGGCAGGCCACGGGCACACTCCTTACTTGACCGAGCAGCACAGGCAGCCGTTCCCCAGCTCCAGCCACTCTTCGTAGAGCTGCCCGCCTTGGCTCACAGCCAAGGGCTTCTCCACCGCACTTCCTGGAACAATGGACAGGACAGACTCCTTAGCTTCGGTTCACGGACCGGCTACAATCAAGCCCGGGGATGCTCAACGACCACGAACAGGTTCCAAGGCCAAGGTCACATTTTCACAACTTGGCAATGCTGCCGTTCTTTCTAGGCAACCCCAAGCGGCTTGATGACGGCTTTCTATTTGAGTTGTAAAACATCTTTCCCTGTTAGCATCGACACCCTGAACAAGTACACGGAAATTAATACGCATGCCTACTTCTTTTTGAGGCCTCTGAGCTGCCCACTGCCATCTCTTCATAGCCGGAAGACGTGACTTTCTTATCCAGGGAACATTCTCTAGATGGATAGAACACTGACCTCTGTAAGTCCTTCTGCCTCTTCAGGGACTCTCTCTCTTTCATATTCTGCCTCTAAACTGTTTCTACTAGACAGACTAAGCAGTTTTTCCAGTGGTAAAAATCCGAGTTCATTATGAGGAAGATTTATGGCCAGACTAACATCGCCCACTCAAAATCTCAACTTCTTAAAAAAATATTATATATATATTTTTTTAATTGGAAAGGCAATATACAGAGAGGAAGATTTTCCGTCCGATGCTTCACTCCCAAAGTGGCCGCAACGGCAGGTGCTGTGTCCATCCACAGCCAGGAGCCAGGAGCTCTTCTCTGGGTCTCCCACCTGAGTGCAGGGTCCCAAAGCTTTGGGCCATCCTCGACTGCTTTCCCAGGCCCGAAGCAGGGAGCTGGATGGGAAGTGGAGTTGCCAGGATTAGAACCTATGCCCATACGGGATCCCGGCGCATGCAAGGTGAGGACTTTAACCACTAGGCTGTTGCACTGGACCCAAAAACGTCAACTTTTAGTCTGCACACTGAAGTATGCTACCAACATTTTCCTGTTTTCATATAAGTGTTTTACTTTTCCTCCAGTAAAACAATATTCTAAAGCCACGGAAGAATTCCAAACGTTCAATAAAGGAAAAACCCAAAGGAAAAAAGTGAATTGCTTTTCATTGACACAGTTTTGTTCCTATTCAAGTGATAATAGAGAGCTTTACATAGGAATGTTACAGAATTTAGTTTATACAGAATATTAGCAAACAAAGTACTCAAAATAGAGGGGGAAAAAAACCTAGGAAAATAATTATAAAATAACACACACAATTAAGGTACAATAAAAGGGCAGTTAATAATACCTAGAGTTTTAAAACAAAAGAGAAAGCTTTTAGGATTATTTTGGTCTCAAAGAACTTTTCTCCTTAGTTCCCTGAAATGAAAAATTCAATTCAGCCGAGCAGTTAAGATGATAATATTCCCTAACAATGTCTGGCTCCAGTTCCTGACTCCAAATTGTTCCCAATGGTTATCTTGGGAAGCAGTGGTGACAGCTCAGATGAATGGGGCTCCTGCCACTTGTGTGAAAGGTGCAGAGTGTGTTCTGCAAACACGGTTGCAGAGCAGCCCAATTCCAGCTGTTCCGGAATCCGGGGGACAGGGGGGAGCCACTGGGAGGAGCTGGCCGGTGCACCTGCCTGTCTAGACACGTGTACTCTGCCTCCCAAATCAGGAACTATTTTATAAAAATTTCTTCTCAAAGAAACCAGCTTTAAAAACAGGCCTCTTATGGGCCAGTGGCTTCTTACGGTAGCCTAGTGGCTAAAGTCCTCGCCTTGCAGGTGCCGGGATCCCGACGGACGCTGGTTCGTGTCCCGGCCGCTCCTGGCTTTGGATTGGCTCAGCTCTGGCCACTGCGGCCAGCTAGAGAGTGAATCATCGCACGGAAGATCTTCCTGTCTCTCCTCCTCTCTGAACATCTGACTTTCCAATAAAAATAAATATATATATTTTTTAAAATAAGCATCTCAGGCCTGGCGCGGAGGCCTAGCGGCTGAAGTCCTCGTTTTGAACGCGCCAGGATCCCACGTAAGCACCGGTTCTGATCCCGGCAGCTCCACTTCCCATCCAGCTCCATGCCTGTAGCCTGGGAGACCAGTTGAGGACAGCCCCACACCTTGGGACTCTGCATCCACGTGGGAGACCCAGAGGAGGCTCCTGGCTCCTGGCTGCGGATAGGCTCAGCTCCGGCTGTTGTGGCCACTTGGGGAATGAACCATCAGTCGGAAGATCTTCCTCTCTGTCTCTCCTCCTCTCTGTATATCTGCCTTTGCAATAAAGAAATCTTTACAAATAAATGAATAAATCATTAAAACAAACTACAGTGTAGTCTCAAAGACAAAAAGTTGAGAACTGCACTCATTTTCAAAGACATATTAACCTATTAAAAATTTTTTTTGTTTTTCTTTTACTGTATTATTCACTTGAAAGGCTAGGACACGGGGTTGGGCAGAGACAGTGACAGAAATCATGCATTTCCACCTGTGGGTTGGCTTCCCAAATGCCCCGAGCTCCTAGCGGCAGGCGGGGCCAAAACCGAGCAGCACGCGAGCTCCCCGAGGCGGGCAGCAGAAACAGGGTCTGAATTACCAGAGCATGAGGAACTAGACCTGAGTATCTGAAGTGCTCAAGACCCATTCCTTCATGTCTGGAAAACAACCTACTTTAACTGCTTCACAGTTTATTTAACAACACAAATGGAAAAATTTTGTTGCTGGGGCATGGGGGTGGTATTGCACGCTAACCCTCAGCCTACAACACCAGCAGGCCATATGGGTGCTGGTGCGAGCCCCAGCGGCTGCTCCACTTCCCATCCAGCTCTCTGGTTGTGGGAAAGCAGTAGAGGATGGTCCAAGTGCTGGACACCCTGCACCCACGTGGGACACCCAGAAGCTCCTGGCTTCTAGCTTCAGATCAGCTCAGCTCTGGCCACTGTGGCCATTTGGGGAGTGAGGCAGCGGACAGAAGATCTGTCTCTCCCTCTCTGTAAATCTGCCTTTCAAACATACAGAGAGGAGGAGAGACAGGAAGATCTTCTGTCTGCTGATTCACTCCCCAAGCAGCCACAACAGCCAGAAGTGAGACAAAATCTGAAGCCAGGAGCCAGAAGCGTCTTCCGGGTCTCCCACGCGGGTGCAGGGTCCCAAGGCTTTCGGCCGTCCTCGACTGCTTTCCCAGGACACAAGCAGGGAGCTGGATGGGAAGCAGGGCTGCTGGGATTAGAACCTGTGCCCATATGGGATCCTGGCACATGCAAGGTGAGGACTTTAGCCACTAGGCTATTGCATCGGACCTGAAAAACTTTCACGTTTTAACGTTTTATTTCTGGAGTCGTTTATTTCAGGCAAAAACTTAATTAAAAGCAGTACAAAATGAAATTTTTCAGTAACTTATTTCAATATCCTAAATCTATGCAAACTAGCCTGACACAGATCAATCGAATTTTTCCAAAGCTCTCCATGTTACTTGTTCACATTGCAAAACAGCTTGTATTTCACTGTTCAATATAGCAGTGGTCCAGTGGAAACAAGCCATAGTACGCATTTTTGAAACAAAGCTTGCACTGAACCCTACTTACCTTCCCCGAATTCATTTAAAATGACTGCCACTCTTTTGCTATGTTGCTCTGTCAGAATATAGTTCAGCAGTGTTGTCTTCCCAGCACCTACAAAAACGTATTTATCTTAAATTAAAAAAAAATTCAAAAATTGTACAGTTTCATGAGGGACACAAAAAGCCCCAATGTTTCTAAGACTTTGCAAGTTATTTTTTCATTTACTTCTTTTACTGAACTATGGTACAGAAGGAAGACTAAATCCTTTGAAAACTTAAAAAAAATGTTTTACATAGATACATAATCGTACTTTATAAATACGCCTACAACAAGAATGACAGCTTCTCCTGCACAACTAAAATAAGATGCCTTCTTCATTATTTAGAAGCAACAACATAAGGATATCTAAACTTTCTATTAAATGACAAATTAATGAAGTAATGCCTTCCAAACAGCAGGGCATTCAAAGTTTATAAAACATAAAACATTTAAATTCCTTTAGGTGATGACAATGTTTTTGGTCCCAAATATATGATTTATAGAATGGGGAAACACAGATAGTTTTAATAAAGGGCAGAATATTCAGTATCCAAGACCGGCAGAAGCTAATCTAATTTTATCCAGTAGGTGGCACATTAAACCCGGTTAAGTTATCCCCAGCAGAAGGAAAACATCTGGTTTCATTCTGCAAACATCAAACTTCTTGGGGGGGGGGGGGAGTACTTCACTGCATAGGACAAGTTCAATTGTATGAATTTACGTGCTTTTTTTTTTTTAGTTTCTAGCATTTTGTTATTCCAAGCATGCACTGCTACAATTTCTGCAGGCACTTCTCTTCTTTTTTTTAAAATACATTCCCCATTTTTCTTGGCTGTAACACAGAGGGATTCACCGAATACTAGGAATATTAACATCCAAAATGGCTTTAGGTTATTATAGCCCTTTAAAAAAAATTAAGTGATGATGGCTTTGGTTTGGAGTGTTTTTAGGAAGCTCGAAATTATAAAGACGGTCGGACCAAGAACGGAGGGACAGACTGAGCGGTCAGGGTCAGGAGACGGTTGCACCAGGCCACGGTGAGAAAATGGGCTTTAACAGGGGACGCGGTGCACGGAACGGTGGCTAAAAAAGGGGGGGGGGGAGGAATGGAGGAAAGACCAATAACCATATTATAAAGAAAACGGACTTCGGCCACCATTCATTCCTTGCTGAAAAATCACGGGGACAAAAAACAAAAACAAAAACAAAAAAACAAAACAAAAAAAAAACAACAACCAAAAAACAGCCCTGTGCAAGCTTAAAAAACAAGAAGGGATCAGAGATGAATTCACATCAAGTCACAACGACACTGAAGGATTCGAGGCGCGCAAGATGCTATAGAGAAACGGAGGCACATCTAGCCACAGTAATACTAATACTCATACTAATAAAATTTAAAAATTACACCCCCAAGGAGCTACGATTGCAAGATAGCTGGCCTGACTGTGCTGGCCATGGGGGATGCTGACTGGAAACCGCGGAGAACCCCAGTTCGGACCACGCTCGGGGGAGCCAAGGGGACTCGTCAGGGATCACCAGGAAGAACCGGGAGGGGGACGACTCACAGTGGGACCAGAGTGAAGCCGACCTGGCCAACCGCGGACGGGACCCTCCCGGGAAGACCCCTGCACCTCCCGTCCCCGAACCCCAGAAACCAGGGCACCTGCCGACCTCGGGGAGGCTGCGTTACCTAGATACCCTGTGATAATTGTGACTGGGATCTTGGCGCCGAGGCCAGACTTTCCCTCCTGCTCCTCCTCTCTTTGCTGTGTCTCAATGGGAACCAACTCAGGACAGTCCTCCTCCACAAGGTCTTCCTCCTCCACAGATCCCACAGCCTCCAACATGCCGGGACCACACCACGACGCTCCGCGCGGCGTTGGAGAACCAGGCCGCAGCGACGGCGCCGCCTCCGGAGCAATCGCCGGCCGAGCCTGCCCGGACGTCATCACGCTGCGACGCGCGGCTCCGCCCACAGTTTGCCCCCTTGGCCAGGAGGAGGCTGCCTTGCACCTAGCTGAGCCCCTCAGATGCTGCCCACTGCTCAGGAGGGGCTGCCTTGCACCTGGCTGAGCCCCTCCGAGACTGCCCACTGCCCAGGAAGGGGACCACCTTGCCCTTGGCCCTGCCTCTCAGAGGCTGCCCACTGCCCAGGAGGGGCCGCTTTGCACCTAGCTGAGCCCCCTAGAAGCTGCCCATTGACCAGAAACGGGTCCGCCTTGCATCTGGCTGAGCCCCCTAGAAGCTGCCCATTGCCCAAGAAGGAGATCGCCTGCCTTTGGCCGCGCCCTTCAGAGGCTGCCCACTGACCAGGAAGGGGACCACCTTGCCCTTGGCCGTGCCCCTCCGAGACTGCCCACTGACCAGGAAGGGGACCACCTTGCCCTTGGCCGTGCCCCTCCGAGACTGCCCACTGACCAGGAAGGGGTCCGCCTTGCCCCTGGCCGTGCCCCTCAGAGGCTGCCCACTGCATCAGGGCGTGCTCGCTGCAGTGGGGCGGGCAGGGCTGAGTTACCATTATTTGTGTCCCAGTAATTTTAGAAGCTGCCCACTGCCCAGGAGGGGGCCACCTTGCCCTTCGCCGCGCCCTCTTGAAGCTGCCCACTGCCCAGGAAGGGGACCGCCTTGCACCTGGCTGAGCCCCTCAGAGGCTGCTCACTGACCAGAAGGGGCCTCCTTGTCCTTGGCCGTGCCCCTCTGAGGCTGACACTGACCAGGAAGGGGACCACCTTGTCCTTGGCCCTGCCTCTCAGAGGCTGCCCACTGCCCAGGAGGGGCCGCTTTGCACCTAGCTGAGCCCCCTAGAAGCTGCCCATTGACCAGGAGGGTCCGCCTTGCATCTGGCTGAGCCCCCTAGAAGCTGCCCACTGCACCAGGGCGTGCTCACTGCAGCAGAGCTGGCAGGGCTCAGTTCTTCTTATTCCTGGGGTTAAGGGGAGAAATAAAGGGCGGGGCGGGGGGAGGGAACCTTATTTTATATTCATAAAGGAAAAAATGGAAAGTAAAAACAAAAATATGGAAGGCTGCAACCCCCATCATTTTAATTGCAACTTTCCTACCTGAAGGATAACAGTGGAACTTTTTCTTCTTTAGTCGTTGCATACTCTGTACACATTCAGATTTTTACAAGGCACTGCGTCACTTTTTCAAATTTGGAGCTCAGGTGGCCTGAGTTCATTAATCCTATTTCTTAGTGGTGACGCTCTTCATCCGTGCTTCATGAAAAGTTCTTTAAATGTGTCTCAACAGTGGCTCTTCAGACCGCATTCCCAACCCAAGAGCATGGGGAAAGTTACACCTCCCCACGTGCCCTTGCCTTGTCCCAAGCCAAATGGCTCCTCCTCAAGGCGGCTGGGTCCTGATTGGTTCTGCTTTGCTGATCACACGCCTTCTGCTTTATTTGATCACGTTGTGTTGCTTCCACACATTGTGGTGCTTTGTTCTGTTTGCTTCTGATTTGCATGAGAATAACTACGCGCCCTAGAATCTCCTGGGGTACGCTCTGGTTTTTCAGCTACCCTGCTGTGTTGTATCTATAGAGTGATTGTAGCAATTTGCTCCAGGTCCTTTTCAAGTTTCTACTTTAAAAGATAAGGTGCCTTTATTAGTCTGTCAAGATGTAGAAAATCAGGCATCCCCCCCCCTGCATTATGTGCTAATGTCACGAACATTAAGTTTTTTTTTTTTAATCAGTAAGTTGCCTACAGAATAATATATTAGGCTCTTTTTTTGCCTTTCTTTGATTGCTCCCAAAGTGGAACAAAGTTTCGTATATTTTGCCCACATATTTAATTCTTAGGACAGCCATGGGATGTGTTACTATCTTCCTTTTAAATCTGAGGCAGAGAGATGAAATTATTTAGCCAAATTCGGTCATCAAATCTGACGCCAAAGTCATATTTTTTCTTTTACAACATCTTAGCACCGGTTAAATGTGTATTTCTTTCCTCCTCCATAAAATACACTGTATGTATTCCATTAGTTCTCCTAATATGGATATTTATCTGGAATGTCCACTTACTGTTATTCTTTTTTTAAAAAATGTTTTAATTGCATATAGGAACTGGATTACAAGTGGCCAGCCAGGACTGACAATAGAAGGACAAACATGTTAAGGAAAAGTTGATACAAATCTACAGAGACTGGCGTTGGCTTCACTTGCCATGACATCCTCAAAATAGTGAAGTGACTCACAAAGTTTTCATTTTGGGGGGTGGAAAGCGGTGGAACAAAGGAGTTTCGCTTCCTTGGGCATGGTGCTCCCCTCTAAAAGACCCGCACTGCATTACCGCCTGCGCGGAAGCCGTTCTGTATTTACAGCAACACCTTCTTGTTTACAACTTTCCAGTAAGTTCTTGCAGATGCTCTCATGGGGCCCCAGCCGAATGTTATTCCGAGATCTCTCATTTTTCATGATGAGCCGACTTTACCACACCAGACCAGCTCAAAGAGGCTGAAAAAGGCGCTGTTTCTCATCCTGATCAAAAATGAAGTACATATCTGTCAACTGGTGGACACCACGTGATTCGTACATGAGATAAAATCCATACAATAAAAAATGATTTGACGGGCCCGGTGCCGTGGCCTAGCGGCTAAAGTCCTTGCCTTGAACGCGCCAGCATCCCATATGATCATCGGTTTTAATCCTGGCAGCTCCACTTTCCATCCAGTTCCCTGCTTGGGGCCTGGGAAAGCAGTTGAGGACGGCCCAAAGCTTGGGACCCTGTTCCCGCGTGGGAGGCCTGGAAGAGGTTCCTGGATCCTGGCTTCAGATCGGCGCAGCACCGGCCATTGCGCTCACTTGGGGAGTGAATCATCGGACGGAAGATCTTCCCCTCTGTCTCTGCTTGTCTCTGTATATCTGCCTTTGCAATAAAAATAAATAAATCTTTTTAAAAAAATGATTTGACAGTAAGCAAGTGTGATGTCAGCTTTCAGATGAATGAAACTTGAACACTCTTATGCGTATCACAGCATCCTGTTTATGTGAGAGGTGCCCCATATCTATAGAATAGAAAGATAGCTTAGCGGTTGCCAGGGGCACCGAGTCAGGGAGTCACTCCCAATGGGTTTAGTGTTTCTTTTGCTAGACATAAAATATTCTGAACCTGGTTATGGTGGGGATAGCATAAGCCTGTGGACGTAACTTTAAAACCTGGTGAGTTACACAGAACATGAACTTCGCATCATTGAAATCGTGATAGTTTTCCCCATCCCGGAGACAGCACTGCGCATTTGCTCAGAAGCGCCACTTGCAGCCCTTTCAAGGACTGACCTTGGGGGTGAATGTAGAGAGAACAATCTGGAAACAGCTTTCCTTTAGTTTGTCTCTGCATTCCTCGTCAGCCAAGTGGCTATCCATTTTGTTTTCTGACTATAATAACCGGGCAGAACTTAGCAATGTGAAAAGTCGAGTGTTTCTGATTTATTCAGGTCTATGTTTGTAAATGCATGGCTCCTTAGATGGCTGAACTTTGATTTAATCATGAAAAACCATACCCATTTTATCTAATCTGACAGACTGCCTTTGTTGTTGAAAATTCAAAACGCCCTTTAAAAACTGTAAAGGAAAAAAAAAATTCCTAAGTATAATATGATAGAATCTATTACAGTTTCTAATGTAACTTAAAATGTCCTCGTTTAGCTTTGTGATTTTGTTGAGCAATCTGATTCAATTTATGGCAAAATAGGACCCGGCGGCGTGGCCTAGCAGCTAAAGTCCTCACCTTGAACACGCCCCAGGATCCCATATGGGCGCCAGTTCTAATCCCGGCAGCTCCACTTCCCATCCAGCTCCCTGATTGTGACCTGGGAAAGCAGTCGAGGACGGCCCAAAACTTTGGGACCCTGCACCCATGTGGGACACCCAGAAGTTCCTGGATCCTGGCTTCAGATGGGCACAGCATCGACAGTTGCGCTCACTTGGGGAGTGAATCATCGGCCGGAAGATCTTCTTCTCTGTCTCTCCTCCTCTCTGTAGATCTGACCTTCCAATAAGTAAATAAATCTTAAGAAAGAAAGAAAGTTCAAGATCTGGTTCCAATAACATGCTCAGTAAATGGTAGCCCTGTGGTTAATCCAGGTATGCCTAAATCTACAGTCCATGTGCTCTCAAACCAGGGACTTACATTTTCTGTAGAAATAAATATTTCAGGTTTAGCTGCCCAAAAACCTCATTTGAAAATAGTGGGTAGATCTGTGTATAACACGAAAGCAAGCATGCGCCAGCTCTGTGGCTGAATAGGCTAATCCTCTGCTGGCAGCGCCATCATCCCTTGGGGATGCCGGTTCTAGTCCTGGCTGCTCCACGGCCTGGGAGAGTGGCTGAGGATGGCCCAAGTCAGTTTGTGTGCCTTGCCTTCTGTCTGTAGATCTTTCAAATAAAAACAAGTATTTTTTAAAAAAACACATTTCTACAAAGCTTAAAATTTGAATGCCACAGTATTTTCAAGTCATTAAAATAAATCCTTCAACTTTCTTTTACCCCATGGAAAAATGTGAAAACCATACTCAACTCTCAGAACTTGTTTTTTTTTTTTTCAAGGCGACATGCCATAATTCTACTAATTTCAGAACTAAACTAGTACTGATATAAGTCCCGTTTTCTTAAGATGGAGTAGAAGACATTTACAAAGATCGCAGATCATTCTGGCTATTGCAAAGTTCATGTGTCTGTTATTACGACTGCTCCGTGTCCTCAGAGTGTTACGGAGCCAGAATGACCACATTCCTGATTTAGAGAACGGTCAGAAGTTGAGCTGCTCAGATGGTTTGTCCTGACCTGGGAGAGCTCGAATGGAGGCTGTGTTTGAGTCCTGGTGCTGTGTTTGTGTTTGTGGCTAGCAGAGCAGATCCGCTCCCAGGTTGTCTGGATTCCCCGCGGCACACAGCTCTGTGACAGCAGCCCTCCCCAAGCCTCCTCTGGCCTCATGTCCCACTGCCCTGCTTGCTTTCCCCTTGAATGAACATGTTACTTGGTCCCGGCATGGTGGCGCAAGTGGTTAAGGTCCTCGCCTTGCACGCCCGGGATCCCATATGGGCGCCGGTTCTAATCCCGGCAGCCCCGCTTCCCTTCCAGCTCCCTGCCTGTGGCCACGGGAAAGCAGTGGAGGACAGCCCAAAGCTTTGGGACCCTGAACCGCGTGGGAGACCTGGAAGAGGCTCCTGGCTTCGGATCGGCATAGGATCGGCCGTTGCGCTCATTTGGGGAGTGAATCCTTGGAATGGAAGATCTTCCTCTCTGTCTCTCCTCTCTGTATATCCGCCTTTCCAATAAAAATAAAAATCTTAAAAAAAAAAAAAAAGAATGCACATGTTACTTGCCATAAAAGACAGTGAGGACTGAAGATACAGCCACTTCTGAAGACGACTAACTCATGCCACCTTGGTCTTGACTTAGGCTCTCACTGTTGCAACTTCCCGCAGAGCAAAAAAAAAAAAAAAACAGTGGCCAGCAATAGCCTCTGGCTTTGAGAAGAGGAAGCTGAGGGTTTCAAAATTAATCCACTTCCTCTTCCTTAGCTGAAGCAAATGCATGTTTAATGTTTAAAACATGTAATGTTTATCCGTTACTTGATACTTTGATCAAACACGTGTGAACCTGTTAACAACGTATCTGGAAGGGCAGGGCTAATGACTTCCGTGCTTGCGATTGTTTTATATAAGGCAGGATCGCAATATTTAAGTATTACTGAGCCCTCCTAGCAAGCGACGCAACCACAGTCAGGACATGGGATGGCAACATCCCCTTTGCAGAGCGCCGGAAGTGCCTAACAGGTGAAATACGAGCATTCCAGGGTTTTCAGCAACTGTGTTTTTCATATCGAAGACCACCAGGAGAATGCTTGAATTACTTATCTCTGGCTGCCGCACATATTTTTAAATGCTATTCAAAGCCCGTATACTGACCAAATCGAGAAGCACATTAGCCTCTCTGAAATACACTATCAGGCCAAGAGTAGGTATTGAGCAAAAACAAAACAGAAGCAAATGCATTGGGCAATGATTTATGTTGTAACCGCTGAGGAGAGTGCCTCAAGTGTATGCCCTGCTCTCCTACTGGGCACAGAAACTTAAAAGTGACATTGGCAGCTCATGGAAATTTCATATTGTCATTTTTTGTAATTTTAAGGAAGTATATTCCACAATCGACAGGCACGTACTTGCAAGTCCTTAAGTGTGAATAGAAGAACAGAAACACAGCACCTGCTTCCTCCTGCCTACCTCCTTCTCTCTCCCTTCCTCTTTCATCTTGCCATTTCCTCAACTCTTTGAGTGTTTAACTGCATCTGATGAGCTGTGCCATCGGCGAAGTCAGTTTCGGCCGACTTTAAGAACAGGAATTCTGGGTCGCTGTATTGCTCTGTTTATGCTTCGACTGCAAGCTCCCTGCGCCTGGGCTGATCTGTATGCTGTGTAAATCTGTTTTCTCACTGCTCCAGATGCCAGGAAGCCCAAAGTCAAGGCTGTGGCAGGCTCACAGTCTGCTGAGGGCCCAGCTCCACTGCCAACATTGGCATCTGACCGTGGACCTCACCTGGTGGGAGGCATAGAATGGCCCCGCAGCTGCTTTGCACATCCCAGGTTCATGAACCTCACTGAAAAGGGTTTGAGCTCATGATCCAATTCCTTCTTAAATCCCCCCCTTTAATACCATCACATTGGTGACTGTCAACATACAAACTTTAGGGCAGGCTAGACTCAAAACCCCCGACTCAAAAACTGGGTTCCTGCACCCCCTGGGGAGGAAGGATTGCATTCCCAAGTCTTGTTTTGTT